TTCGCTCTCAGCGTCTCAAATTTTTCATGTAAACTAAGGGTTTTATGATTTTTGAACAAACAAAAATTAAGTGTCGCATTCAATCGCTCTGGTTTCTCACTCATTCACTCTTACTGTCTCAAACAAATGAGCTTTACTGTATTAACAGTTTATTGGTACAATTATAACTTACCTCTTATTCGAGCAAATAGAGTCAAAGTTTCCTGTGGTGTTAAATTATCAATTAAAGCATCAAATTGAGGACAGTAGCTGATTGATTGTTGAAAATCTTGCAAGTTATTTCTCAATGAATAGGATTTAATGAAAGCGTCTCCTTGAGTTACCACTGAATCACCGGTCAACATTCTGAATGTTGTCGTTTTACCAGCTCCATTGACACCAAGTAACCCAAAACATTCAGCTTTATGAACAGCAAAACTTACTTTGTCAACGGCTCGAAATGATCCAAAATCTTTGCTTAATTGATTCACAACTAAAGCTTCAGAGTCCATCTTTTGTGATTTAACCAGTTGTTCAACGCGATGTTTTTCAGCAATAACATCCTCATCTTCAACTCCTCCTGATTGAGGAGCTGCTGTCAATTTTTTCTTAATTGTATCATACCAATAGATAAGTCTATGTGAATTCATGTCCAGTATTATTAAAATAGTTGTATAAAGAATCGAACCAAAAGTAAGCGTTGTAATTTCAGTTAAAATTCCATCTTTGGTCCATTTGAATGGATTGAATGGGATCAACTCTAAATTTTCATTGCAACAAATTTTCCGAGAAATGGAGTTACCAGGATCACAAGCCTTGATTCTTTTACATTCGGAATGCAATTTTGCCGCTCCATAAACTTTGGACAACCCAAAAGACATGGCAAAAGGTGGGAAAAGATCACCGAGAAAAACGTGAAGAGATTCTATTGCTTCAAAGGCCACTAATGTAGCCGCCAATCCTGAACCAACCAAGGTACAAACTAATGAAATAGTTGTCAACAGTGAGAATCCTCGATCAGCATTTATTGGTAAAAGTGAAAATATATAAAACAATGGAATTGATGATGAGCCATAAAGTAGAAGAAGTAGTAATATGGGACCTGAAAGTTAATTGTAAATAAAAAATGAGTTAATTCCAAGAGTTTATTAGATTTGAAAGATGAAATATTTACCTAAAGTTGTAATACTGCTGAATGTGTATTGGTCAACGATAGCGATGGTGATCAAGATAATTGTGGATACAATTATGTGGTAAGAAAAGTCGAAAATTAAATGACTAAACCAGAAAACAGGTGCTTTGATTCCGCTCATTCTTTGGATTAGATTGGCCTGTAATGAGAGGTAAAGTCATTAGTGGAAGAACGATGGTAAAAGCTTTATTAACAAACCTTATTTTGAGCTTCAATGGACGGGAATAAGAAATATGAACAAGAAATAAAAGCGAAAGCGGCCGGTGCAAATAATGCTGCAACAATTTGAGAAATCAGCGATTTTAAAAAAGGTTCGTTTGTTGCCCGATTTGGCATGGGCATGAATGTTGTAGTAACCTTTGTCAGGTTACTGCCATTGAAATGCCGTCTTATTAGCGTATTTGTCCATGCATCGATCGTTAATGGCAACGATAATGCGAGTCTCGGATTGTACCATAAACTGAAGCCTGAAGGTGCATATGAATCCTCAATAAGACCAAAAATGTTGTCTCTCATAAATTCATCAGAACTTTGGTTACTTTGTTTCATAAATTCATTGAGTGGTAGAGAGGCTGGAATATTAATAACTTTGATTCCTTCCTTTTCCATTATTTCGTTGTAAGCTTTAATGAAGTCTTGATTCTGTGTGAATGTTGCACGAATAACAGCTTTAGCATTTGGACCATAAATTGATTTCACATTCAATTCAATTGGATAAGGATAATCCAGGAATGCATTAACAGTTTCTGAGGAATTTTTCGCAGCCCAAAATGTGAAAAGTAAAACTATAGCAGGAAGAATGATCGTAAATCCAATCGTTTTGTAATGTCTTTTTGTGTAATTAACTCGTTTCATCACAAGACCCCTTATTCTTTGAAGAAATAAGGGAAATCCACTGAGTTTCTCATAATCCAGAATTTTATTTAATTCAAACAGTTTATCTTCCATTTGAACTGCAGTATGTTCACTTTCACCATCATCCTCAGAAACTCTAAGGAAAACATCTTCAAGAGTTGTCACTGAAATCCCATAGGAAGTAATACCCAGTGCGTTTGAATTTTTATCCAGAGAATCACAGAGTTGAGCTAGAGTTGCTGTTGGTACGTCTGCCTTAGAATTGATTCCTGCACTTATTTGATAAATAATTTCTTCATCAGTTTCATTGATGGCAACAGCACTAGGAAAATGAGCTTTCATCAATTCAAGTAGATGAGCATTATCGAATTTCGCACCATTTTTAGCTATCCTAATTGAGTTTCCAGCACCAAATCGATGTTTCAAAAACATTGGACTTCCTGAGCATTTAATTTTTCCGGACGCCATTATAACTATTCTATCTCCTAGAGCATCAGCTTCCTCCATGAAATGGGTTGTTAATAAAATGGACAGATCTTTTCTCAATTCCAATAATAAATTCCATAATTGACGACGAGATTCTGGATCAAGGCCTGAAGTTGGTTCATCTAAAATTAAGGTTTCTGAGGCTGTTGATAAGGCCAAAGCTAGTTGAAGACGGCGTCTCATACCACCTGATAAATTACAAGCCAATGTATTAGTTTTATCCGTTAAATTGACCCTCCCTATGTTTAATGGTATCAGTTGTTTTCTCATTTCTCTACTTAAACCTCGCAAACCAGTAACAAGCTCTAAATTTTCCGTCACAGTAAGCTCTTCAAATAATAGATCAGTTTGTGGACATAAGGCAAGACAACGACGAGCTGCAACAGTATGTTGATGAACATCTATACCATTAACCAAAACTTTTCCTGCTGAGGGTTTAATCATTCCTGTAATCATTGACATTGTTGTAGTTTTACCAGCTCCATTGTGACCTAAAAGGACCGTTATTTGACCTTTAAGGATATTCAGATTCAATCCATTAACAGCATACTTTTTACCGCCAATCGAACCAAAGGATTTGTATAAATTAATGCACTTTACACTAGGTTTTAAAAGAGGCGGCTCTGACTCATAAATCATACTTGTATTGGCATTGAGTTCGTTTGAATCATGTGTAGTTGATGTTCCATTCATTTCAATGTCTACTATTGATTTATTGAAAAACGATGAAATTGGCAAATGCCATGGTTTTGGTGTCCCTGATTGCCATGGCCAAACTGCATCTAGATACCAAATTAGCAAGTAGTAAACAAACCAGGATACAAACGCCGTTAGATAAATGTATCCAAAAGGAAGAGTTTCGGGTGATTTGATTTGATGTAGTATATGGGACCAAGATAAACCCTTTACCGATGCTCCAAAATAAAACATGTTATAGATTGAAAAATGCAATTGACCACTAGGAAGAAGACAGGACCATACTTTGGGCGAAATGTTCAATACATTAACCATCGATGTCTTGGCAGCGACCGGTAAATAAGCTAATCCACCTCGACCAGCGATTACAACTAGAACACCGACAATGGGTCGATTTAAAACAGTTGTAAAAGTAAACGTAAATAAAATGTTGCTAATTGAAGCGATTAAGTAATTGAACCAGAATAAACTTGCATTCCAATTTCCATAAGGATTTCTTTGATCAAAAATAGAGTAGACGATTGTGATGAGCGTAGAGTGGAAAATGGATAAAGATAGATAATTTATAAAGTGTGAAATCCAATAAACAAAATCGTTTAATCCCATTATTCTCAGTAATTCCTTTGAATTGGTTACCTTTTCTCGAATCAAACGACGTGTTATAATGGATGATAAATAAATCAAACCTATCTCTAGGAAAACATAGGCTTGAAGGTATTTCAAAGTGTCGACTGGAGATGAAGTTTGTGGGGCCAATTTTGGTTCGGATTCCACTTCTTTCTCATATGATGGATTTCCTTGTGGGAACAACTTAGATGTGTACATATACTCAAAATCTGTTCTCTGCAATGTTTTTGAAGGATAGTTGGCCATGAGAATGTTGACCAATGATTGTGTCCTGATATATTCTTCATAAGTGCTGTGTATTGGTTCAGTGTAAGGTCCTGTATATATAAATGATGTCCCTCCTATTGTATAATTGGCAATGCCTTTATCAACATCCAATTCATGGAAAAAGACGGCACTATTTGAATTAACAATTCTGTCTTTAATCGTATCTCCCCAAGCCTTAATCACAGCACTGTCGTTAGCCAATGATACAGCCGTTGAATCACAAGCTGATAAATGAGAAGGCAGCAGTTTTTTAGCAACATCGTTGGGTGAAGTGTAAAAAATTGTTGCTCCAAATGTGTAGCAAAGAAACATCTGAGGAAAATTATCAAATATATTTTTCCAAGACTGAAGTTTTTCATTAACTGTTGGTTCAAAAATTTTCGCTGCTTGTTTATCGGGCAAGATATAGACATGCAACAAAACCAGCAAAATGGGCAAGAAAAATTCTAGAAATGTTGATATCCAATGTCTCTTTCTGATGAGCTGATCTTTAATTAACATAGCTTTCAACTGGTACCAATAAACAAATGCCATTTTGATTAACACTTCTTTAGTGGGCTTTCAGTAAAATGGACATAAATGAAGTTATGAAAATAAGTTATAGAAATAAAGTTGACTGTCAAAAAATAGACATTATGAGCAGGAAATTAATATTTTATGTTTGACGGATGGACAGTAGAATCAATGATTGATGAATGTTAGCTCGATTTTAACAGTATTTGTTGCTTGGTTACTAAACTATGATTTAAATAATTTAATTGATTTAAAAGGCGTAACCATAGGCTTTACTTTAAACCATTTGTAAATTTGAATTTCAAAATTCAATCTTTTATCCATCAACTTCTAATGTTTTTATCTTAAAATCAACTCCTATTGTTGAAATATAATTTCCAGAGAAGGTGTCATCGGCAAACCGAAGAAGAAGACTGCTTTTACCAACACCTAAAAATACAAAAATAGTTAAAGAGAGTAAGAAAGGGATAATTGTAAGAGGACAGACAAAAATGTATGAATCACAATTTATATGATAATCTATACTAAAAAAGGGTTATTTTTAACCCACCCAGATAGCTAGATGCCCAATACACTGGGTATGATTCAGATATGAAAAATATATCAAAATTTGCTTACCTGAGTCTCCGATAATTAATAATTTAAACAGATGATCGTAATCTTTTGACATTATTTTAAAGCAAAACAGTAATTTTGGTCAAAATCAAGATCTAAACAGAAAAGAGAGGAAAGAGAGGAAAGAGAGAGTGAGAAAGAGAGAGACGAGTAGTCAAAGTGATGAGAAAAAAGAGGCAAATTCAATAGTTGGTAATAATATACACAACTATCTTTACACTCGTTAGTAAAATAATGAATTAAATCAACAATCAAGTAAATTTAAAATGTGATTATAAACTAGAAGAGATTGAAATTGGGTGTGTTGGATTTTGAGAATCAGATCAAGTTTCTTCTCATAAGCTTTTCGATATATGACTCCAGGGATAATAATGACTGAATAATCCTGTACAACAAAAACATCTCAACAACCAATTGATTGAAAGCTAGGTTTTCGTAAATCTACCTATAAACTGTTTCAACAAAATTTTTCACAGAATTAACATTTGTAAGAGGGAATATGAAACAGCATATTAATTCAGTAGAATGCCAATATTAATTGCCACATGAAGTCATTTCAATCTCGATCTTATTAGACGAAAGTAACACTCTTCATCGTCATTCATTAAAAGTTTTTTCTCAAGATTAATTTGAATTTAAAATAGACATTATGGTCTTGTTATGGAGTATGCTGAAAGAGTCTCAAACAAATTACAAAGTCGCGTTCGTAAGCTTTTGCGATGAGAGTTGGTGATAAACTTTAGGAATTAACACATTAAATTAAGGCATTATTTAAGAAAAACTGGATCAAGATGATTCTTTTTAAAATATCAAGCAACAAATAGAGAAAAAAGCAACTTTATCGTTTTTGTGCATCTTTATTTGATGTTTTTGAATGCTTTACCCAGTAATTGTCCAATTTGAAAAAATTAATCAGCAGCCATTGTATTTTACAAGCAAGTCTTCTAAATTGTTGGTTGGCAAACCTTTTGTTGTGTTGAAATAAGAGATTTTGCGAGAGTTTCTAGTATTACACCACTAATCACCGAATGCAGTATTTGATCTCTTGTTTGTTCCCAAGTTTTTTCTGAATTTTTCTCGTAATTGGTTTCTTGTAAAGACCATTGAGTATAAGATATTCTTTAGAAAAGTGATGAGCTGCTCCATGCTCTAACTGGAATGTACATAAGGCTTGTAAAGGCTTCATAAGAGTATCGTAAATAGATCGATTATCCTCCAAATGAGCTAAAGTAATAGCAGCCGTTTCAACAGTTGAAAGAGACTCTTCAGTTGGCTGAGTCCTAATAACCTGCAAAAATAAATGAACAACCAGATGAAAAATGAACAAGAAATAAAAAACTTAAAAAATACATACATAGTTACTACGTTTTTGTACATTAAGTACAACTTTTCTGACATTCTTTAAATCGTTGCTGTTATGATAAATACAGCGGGCTTCGCCCCAAGTACCGTCAATAATGATTATGTTGTGTGGGTCGCATTTTTCAACAGTTTCTAATTGTTGCGATGATTTACCAGGAAATAACAGGAAGGTTTTCTCCGGATTTTTGAGCGCTTCACTAAGTTCTGGATACCTATTGGCGTTAAACCTTTTCCCTCTGATAACTTTACACTTGTCCGATGGTAAGCTCAATTCAAGAATTTTAGCTGTCCTGAGACATCTTTTTTCTTCTGATGGATGCTGTAGAATCAACAGCTTACTCTTAACAGGTAACGGTTTAACCGGTAGATAAGGACATAGACAAACTTTTTCTGGTCTACTGTCATTCAGAACGAAACAAAATTAAAGAAAGAGAAAAGAAAAATTAGATAAGAATGCTACAATAATGCAAGAGAAAATTCAAAAATGCAAAGAAAAAAGTAAGCTTACCAACATCTATCACATAGTTTACGGCTTTCTTGGGGCTCTGATTGAATATTGAGCAGTTCACCAAGAACCTCACCTAAATCATCTTCAGCAGACATGTTGCATCAAATTATAACAATTTAGAGCAACTGAACAATGTTGACAAGGTGTACAATATATCTCAAGGATGGATCAAAAACAGGATTTTAGCATCAACAATTTTTGTAACAGACAGATGTAGAAATATAAAAAAATTTGGCAATTTGGAGTTAACCATAAGTTATATCGCTGTAATCAGATAAAATTAAAATATTAAAATAGTGTGTTTCATATTATTTCTCTTTCTATTATTGTCTTTCGCCTTATTGCAAATTGCAATATTAAGGATATCGATATCAAACCAGAAAATACTCGATAAAAGGAGCAAATCCAGGTAAAAATTGCCCAACCGTGTACAAGAGAGGGAAATACAAAAATAATAAGAAATGAAGTGTTTTGTAATTCAAGGTGTTAATGAATGAACTTTAAACGTTTGATTTTTCTGACTGATACAAATAAACTTGAACTTTTTAATTTTATACTTTCTTATTTCCAGAGGTGAATCGATTTATTCTGAGATAGTTCGATTTCGTATCAAATATAGGTGATTTTAGTGGCTGCAACCAAATTTTGAAAGTTTATATTTGCAAAAGTTGAGGATGATTTTTCTAGCTTTCATAGGCAGTTAGTATAGTTTTTTGTACTCTTTTTGATTTAGTTTTGATTGTTCGAAATTGAGATCATGTGATGGAAATCATGGCCGGACAGATTACCACTGTCATTCAGTGTTCATTACGCGTCACTGAGTAGTTCAGAATGTGAAAAAAGTTATTCGAAATAGTTAACAGATGTTAAACCATCTTCTATACCAAAAGTAAGTATGGTATGTTTTAATGTTATAAATATTGTCATTGTCAACTTTCTACTTTCGTCTGACCAGAGCAAGAAGAAGGTTTCCATTCAGAAGAAATCAGAATATTAATAAACACTAATATAACGGAAATTCAGTCATTCAAACGTCTAAAGTGCATTTCTCAACACAAGTGTAGTTTATTGTGCATAGAAATTGTTACTTTTGTCCAAGTATCTTCATCTTGTTTAGTCTAACCTTAATGAATTATCGATAGCTGCTGGTTAACTCAAAAGGGGTCTTTAGCATTTTTGAAGGCTTCGTTCATGCACAATGGCAAGCATAGCTGCAATTAAAAATTGTTAGTTCATTTCCATTTATTCTTAAATCATCCACAATGCGAAAGTCACGGTATTGAGAAAGTGTCAGATCAGAGTCCTCTATATAATTCATAATCAATTACACAGCTAACTATATAACAGCTTCATTTTTACTCATTTCATTTTTATATAGATTTTTACAGTTTTTTTCGTAGCTCAATATTGCATATAATTTGTTGAATGCAATTCTTGTCGATGTATTTCCTTCCTTTTCACCATTAACCTAATCAACAATCATCATAATAGTTATGGGCATCTTATGCCTTATAGTTGTAGTTATAATTTTGTTTCTCAGCCAGAGTAAAAAATGCAGAATAATATTTGAAGTCTATCGAAACCAATATCGTCGTTACCGAAACGGGACTCCATGCAATGCTCAGGTAAATAAGAAAAATTATAATTTATTTCGTGGTTTTTGCTTTCTGTAAATGACATCTAGTCTACCTACTACTATCATTCCTAGATAATAGGTTTTATCCGTTAGGTAGTAAAGTTACCAAGAAGCAAAAAACTGAAAAGCAAAAGTGAATCAAAATTTTGAATTTCAAATAAATTGATATTGAATTTTTATTGACAGCACTCTTCATTTAAAGACAAGCACGTTGAATCACTAAATATTATAAGGAATATCCATTTCAATAACTCAGAGTGCGTAAGGCTGCCAACTCCACAAGCAAGTGAGTTAGATGAGCATTTGCAAAATTGTTATCAAGAGGGCGTAGTACCTTTTAATGTCACAATTATGTTAACGCAACCGACGTTCAGCAGCTACAAACACTTTTTCGGCGATTGTTATTACACCATAAATGCTATCCCGTTTTATGAATACAAAATAGCAAAGAAGATGCTTGTTAAATGTAATCAACAATTGTTTGTGTGCTTCACAAATACTGAAAGGAACCCATTGGAAATCCATATGTGCGATCAAAGATCTTTCTCGGAGCTCCTAGAATATTATAATAAAAACATAATATTCTGGTTTATAATTTGTGCTGTAGTGGCATATGTATCTTAATATTTACTACATAAATAGAATTGAAAATGGAATCCGTATTTATAATTATTAAAATACGAAAATCCGCAAGCAATGAAATGCTTGCATGAGTTTCTTAAGAATTAGATTGTTAAAAATAGCATCATTACAACCATTAATATGAATTAGAATCATTCAGTTTAATAGGTAATAACATACAGTATTATATTTCCATATTTTTTATTCCAATTTGCCATTGAATTTCTTTCTATTACTGTTTGGAAATGCGATATAATTACAAAATATTTCTTTCTTTCCTTAATGTCATTTTCATTATATTAATATTATATCAGTATTGATGATTACTTTACTTACGATTAAATAAAATTATTATCTATGCTGCCTTAAAATACTTGCTCAAACTTTGATTGAACCAAAACTACCTCTTGAAATACTGAAAAGTGGTTCTGGCAATCCCGTAGTAACCTGGGTGGTGGACATTCGACAGCCGGACAGAATTGTCCTCCTGTTTATTATGGCCGAATGCATTAAAATGTTTTTTACCGTCTGGAATGGGTTAGTCGTGTATCAAAGAAAGCTTAGCTAACTTAAAATGTCAAATTGGTAATCATTTGCTACTTCCGATGATTCCACTTGTCAAATTTGAGAGTTTTATCGAAATTTTCATCATCAAACTTAGTTATTAATTTGTAACTTGACTGTATTCATTAATTTAATTCCCAGAGTAAGTCGAGTAAGAAAATTTTTATCGTTCAATACTTGAATGAATAAACTGTATTGTTTAATTACTTTCCTAGTTCACTTCTTTAAAATAACGAGACTTAAAGATTTAGGTTAAACTGAAACCTGGAAGTAATTTTTCATTATTGAAGCAATCAAGGAAAGAAACAAATGTCAAAATACAGAAAGAGAAAAATAAACTGAAAAATAAAACACATCGGAATATGGCTATTGCAATTAGTTGAAAAGTTGTAGATGTCAGATAATGTTGCTTGAATGTCAGTTTGTTTCAATGGGTTTTTTATTAAAAGTCAGGAATTGAATGATCCATCAATTTTTTAAGCATACCGGAAGCCATGCTGCAGGAAAAAGAAAAGAGAAAAAAATTATTAAAGTTTGCACAAATCGATATACATTAATTCATATAAAATATGACGCAGTTTGATTGGGGATAATCAAGTTATTGATGTTTTTCTATACACTACCTTTTAACCATGTGATCGAAAATCATTGAAGGCATAATGGTTAGGGTGATAACACGTTCGTTTTCCTCGATGATTTGTCGAATGGCTTTATCGTTGAGACCGACGACATTTTGTCCATTAACTTCCAACAAATGGTGTTCAATTAATAAACCGTTACGAGCTGCTGACGAGTCTTTGACTATGTGAGTTATTTTGCCATCCTTGAAGGCAAATCCAGTGTGACCGTTACTATCTTTATGGAGAGTTATTGTGCGCTCGAATGGACGATCTCGAACAACAATGTTGATTCCATTCACTGGTGATTTACGGATAATATCATGAACTTTCTCCATAGAATATCCGGCAACGTTTTCATCGTTAATTTGCAAGATCTGATCACCGAATCGGAGTCCAGCAAGAGCTGCAGGGGAACCAACGTTGACTAACACAACAAAAACACCCTAAACAAATGATTCAGAAAGTTCATTTTTAGTATTGTGATAAAAATATGACGCAAGTAAATGATAAATTATTTTATCAGTTTGAAGCTATTAATGAAAATTAGCATGAAATGGTCAAGACATTCAAAGGTTAATGGACTTGTATGCTTTTTGAGAAATACATTTGTACTCTGAATTAGAATGTAAATACTGGTTTGTATTTTTGAATTAAACAAGAAGTGAGACAAGATTAAACGAACTGTGCATAAATAGATTGTCTCAGCTTGATGAAATGTTTCTAATAATGACGCAATATTATTATACATTATATTGATATTTCAGCTTTGGAGTGCAAGCTTTAGTTAGATAAACTAGTGTCATTTCATGTATTATTAAACTCTTTATGATCTAATAAATTATTAAACCTGAAGTTCTGAGAATAAACGAGATGAGTAAGTCAACTCTGATATCGATGTTCATGTAGATAAAGTTTGAATACAAAAAGTTGTTAGCAAGTATTAAGTAAAATAGTATACAGTCTACATTGTATGAAAAATTTGTAATACGCAAAAAAAGATGCACAGTTGATCAAAGAAATTCTTCTCATGATTATCTAGACTAAAAGTTTAGAGGCATGGAAACCAGATAAATCAGGAAATCAAGCAAATCAGCTAGTAAGACAACTGACTCATCTTAATAGATAATAGAGTAAAATTTCTGTAATCTCACCTTATTTAAAGTTCGGACTCGAAGTCCAACTTTACCATTTTTATCTTTACATAGAGTGAGTTGACGAAGACCATGAGTGACAGCAGCTCGTTTAAGGCCTACGGATTCACCAGAAAGAGGAGCAACCATATTAGCGCTTCCAGGCGATACTGAGACCAAACTTTGGGAAGATAAATTTGCCACAGTATTGTTTGGACTAGCAACTAGAGCAAGCTCGGCTGAAGATAGATTAAGGCCCATATACTCGTGAAGATCAACCAGAGCTGGGTACATGTGTAATTCATTCTGCTCTATTCGCCTAGAGTCAACAGGGTATGGTGCTGAAGGAGATGTTGGCTGGTGTGATGAAGCGAATGGTAAAAGAGTAGGATAACCTCCTTCGGCTGATGATGAATTGGCAGAAACTCGAGTAGCAGTGTTTATTTGAGCCTGAGTAAAAAACAAAAAATAAAATGATGAGCCAAGAGGTCAGAAAATCAAGACAAAGAACCATGAGAGGATGAGGTGCAAAGATTGACATGATACAGAACAAAAATGACACCAGAAAAACTGGGTCGGTTTGGTAGAGAAAGAAGACTAATTGATCTGAAGCATTGGAACAAATCAATGGATTTCTTTGTGTCATTTGTTTTCATATAGAAGGAAGAAAATTAGAGGAAAAATGAAGGCTTAACGCAGAATGACAAACAATATTAAAAGCATAAAAATGAAAGGGGACTAAAAAGGAAGAGGAGGTGGGAGATATAATTTAGTTATGGTTCCACTAAACAAAATAAACAAAGATGATACATGGAAAAGGTTGTTTGAAATGTAATAATCAATCAAATTTACTTACTTGGATCATTTGATCCGTTTTCATATCTTCAAGGGAAGGATATAAAGACATTTTAATAAGATTTGTAGAATATTACGACAGTATCAATATGTTATTTCTAGAAGATTGGCACAATATTGTGTGTTTCTCGCAATTGTTGTCCACAGGTAAACAGAATAAACAAACAATGAAATAATAACAGAAATTCAGGTGAAAATAACGGTGATTTCAACGCCTCTATCAAGTAAATCTATCGTCTGACAAAGAAAACATCAAAATGACTAGCAGAGAGTCTCTTTGGTTATTCCCTCCTCATTTTTTCCTTTGACAATTGAAGCGCAACATTCAATTACTAAATATTTTGATAATTAATTTTATCTTCTAACGACGAAGGAAAAATGGAATTTTTCTCAATCAAAAATCATCTTTATTCATGATATCACTGTTAATTCCTTTATCAAAACAGGAGGCTGAACATTCTTGAGGTTAACTGTTGTTTAGCTTTAACCATTGAAACAAAATCAATCATGGGAAACATGGTTAACCATTAAAAGCTGATTTTCACAATCATGATTCAACGGAAGCATTAATTGACTTTTCGGTAAATTAGGCGATTAATTATTCAACCATTAAAATAAAATTAGCTCCATAGGATGAAGAGGCCACATTTCAACACAATTTCAAATCTAAAAATAATTTATTTCAACGATTGTTGATTTTTTAATTGTTTTTTTATTTTTTGGACAATGAGAATCTATTTTTAACAAAAAAAAAGTTATATTAAGTTTCACAAGGCATTCCATTCAAGATAAACAAGACTGAGTTTCTAAGGAAATTGTATTGTCTTGTATGAATAAAATTTGTCACAGCTATCAATCTTAATAGAGATTGTCAAGTCATTTTTGGTTTAAATTGTTACAATGAAATCGTATAAATAATTTGTCTTAAGTTGCTTTTTCTTTTACAACCTTCAAAAATCATGATATCTTTTGGAATGTCCATTTTGACAGGGCAAGGTATATCATTAATATTACATTAAATTCGTTTTCCTTGTTATATTTGTTTTCTTCATCTGTAAAGTTGTTTCTTATCAGTTTTTGTTTTGTATCTAAACTGAATAATGATTTGAAAAATTTGATGTTCAAAAAATTTGAAAATTTCCAAAAAGGCGAAATAATTAATTTGATATGAGTTTAGCTCAGCAATGAGGATTTCAGAAATTATGCAAATTTCACTAAGATTTTTGGTCTAGATGATGATCCTGAGTCTTGGTCACTCTATTTGGGTGAACTTTTTGTATAAGAATATAAGTTAGTTGAAATTGCAAGAATTTTAAGCATTAAGTAGAGTTGATGATTCAAAATGAGTCAATTTTTTCGGGAAAAGTGCTTCAGATCCATCGATGAGTTCAGTAAACAATTCATGACGAGCAGATGTTAATTTCTTGGATGATTTCTTTAAGTGTTCCTGAGATAGCGGAGACATGAGTTTGATGGTGATGATCATGGAGGTAATGATGGCGTTAATGCAGGTGGTGAAGACAACAGTGAAAGACGGGTAATTGAGAGAGAAAAAGAAGCCAAGCGTAACGAAAAAATTTTTGAAGGCAAGATGTGTTATTGAACGATATAATCTTTATAATTTTTGAAAGATTTAAGTCGTTTTTTGAGAACCTTGACTAAATCAGAGGGTTGAAATAAAAGTGAAATATCTTTACCAACGGCATTCAATCGATCACGTATTTCACTTCCTTTGAAAAATAAATTTAATGGCCTATTGTTGATTTCAGTGATAACCCAATTGCAATCTTTACCTTTGGTTTGATCGACGCAAGGTGCTCTATCGGTTAATCCATTGCTTGCAGCAAGACCATCAGGAATCACTTGGATTACTTCGGCAGTATTCCCATCACGAACAATTCCTAAATCTTGCCCCTCAAAGTCTCGTTTAAGAACAAAAACGAAACCATAAGGAACACGACTCAATATTATCTCAACGATTAAGGGTTGAGTTTTCATGAGCCGAAGAACTTGACATGAATCATAAACTCTTTCACCACAAACACTAATTAAACAGTCACCAATGTGAAAGGTATTATGCAGTTGAGGATACATTTTCTGTTTCCATCCAGCAATCCAAACTTTACCCAACCAATCTACTAAGGCGATTGATTCGTTGCAATCTTTTTTACGAACCATTACTTTAACACCATCTTTATGAGCAATCTCTTTTTGAAGACGTAAAATTTGTGATTCACGAAGAGATAATAAAGTACAATCAGACGTTAATTGATCTATTTGACCAAAACTATTGCTACCCATAACCCTTGAATTTTCAACATCTTCATAAGGAGGAGGCCCTTCTTCATGAGGTAAAACTGAATTTCGAAATGATAGTCCAGATGATTGATTGGCAACAGGACCAAAGATTGGTTCATAATTTATTTGCACTTCATCCGGAATATCACCATAAAGAGATTGCGTTGCTGTGAATGATTGGCCAGAAGAATTGATTGCTGACCTGGGAGGAGGTGGTGGCGGTGGCGGTGTCGATGGAAGAGATTGATTGAGGCTTGTTGTCGAGGATCTTAGATTGACTGAAGATCCATTGTTTATTGACAAAGATGATGAAGTAGGTGTTAAAGCTGTTTAAAGGATGGAAGAAAGAAGAATGTTAACCTTTTATCAATTGCATTGAAAATATGAGGAAACTTTACCTCTAGGCGGTGTAATAGGAGCTTGAAGTTGTGAATGCTCATTAGGTGAAGGAGGGATTGGTGGTAAAGGTCGTGAACTTTGATTACTTGATCTAGGCTTAAGAGTGAAATTAGGTTCTTTAGTGTAATAATTATCTTGAGGACCAATTATATTCATCTGTTTCAATTTTGTTTTTATACAATCAATCCATTCATCCATTGATTGACGAGTTGGAGCCACCAGACGAATGAGTTGACTTTCTAGTGTTATTGAGAACTCAAAGCAGTTTTCTTTTTCATCAATCACAATTGCAGGACATAGATGTAAACAGCCTTTCAGTGAATAACAATAGGTTGGTTTAGCTATAACACTTGAAGGTTTTTCACTATACAGCTCAAGAAACGGGTCAACCTCATTCATGATAGCAAAAGTAACCCAATATTTAACAGGAACCTGTGTTACTTTACAACCTTTAGGAACATTACTAAAATATTTGAGAAATCCACATTTGTATACATCTCGGATTGTTTGACTCCGAGGAGTTGGTGACACTCTGCTTCCATTCTCCATTTAAATTGAAATACCAAAATATACGAGCAAATTGATAATAAATAACTTGTATTGGTAACACTAGTGTGATTAGGTTAAACCTCGGAGTAACCACGAAGTTGAGAATATTTACTATTAAATGTGTTCCATAAATATCACCTCATGTTCCGATTAGAATTGTTGAAATGGTCAATTGGAGTATAGATCTTCAAATGATAGATGTTTTACCACAATCCTTTAACCAAAAACCTGATAAAAAATGAGGAAAAGAATTAGAAAAATTGATTGAACAGAAAAGGGGAAATAAGGAAATGGAAAGAAACATAAAACCAAGCCAAATCAAATAACGTGATAGAAATACAGGATACTCGAACTTACAATGGTTAACAATATCTAGTCGAACAGAAGCAAGAACGAAATTCAATCAGCTAATGATGAAAAGATTAAATATACATTAAAGACAAACCATAAACAACCATCAAGATGGAAAGACTAGCGTGAAACTGATTCACCTTAAAGCTACATGTGATGGATAGAAGGAGGCAAGAGTTTAAATTTACTTACAGTGTATATTATTTGAACCAGTCAATCAAATGGGAGCAATCAAGATGTTGACAATTGATGAAAATTCTTATTTCATTCAGTAAAATAACAATTGACTGCAGCAATACAATAATAGCAAAACAAAATTACCAACTTAAAAACTGTGGGTTTCCTAGGTTACATTAAACAAAAAGAAAGAAGCGCAATATTTGGAACAACTGATTTATCTGAAAAACTCAATAAAATTCATTTTATAAGGTTCATAATCAACCCAATTCAATCAATTCAGCTCAATCAATACTTTTGATCACCATTCACTCAACCAGCTTAGCGTGAAAAGTTGAAACAGCAACATCTCTTCACTAAAGATAATGTTCCAAGTTGACATGAAAATGTCTTGTCCAGAAATGAAAATAATTTAATATTTTCATCAACAAATCAAGATGATAAATTAAGTCTTTCAAGCATGAAAGAATCAGAATCAAGTGAACTCTTTGAATATATAAGCCTTAATGTTTAAGAAATGAATATTAAGTAATTCATTTCAGTAGTCAAAGCATCAGTTTTTTCACTGAACACAATAAAAATATGTTGTCATATTGTTATGCAGCTACAATTAAATTATGTTTAATCGTTAAACTATTACATACCGTCGTTTCAATTTGATCTTATTTAAGGTAAACAGGAAATTAACTTACCCAGAATAATCAAATAATATAATTGATGTAGCCAAGGTTGGTTTTAACATTTCTTTATGACCATTCACACAAATCTGTTGAAAACGAATACAATGGTTGACAAATCGCAAGTTTCCAACTCAAGGGTGAAAATGGAAGGGAAAAGAGTCAATTCCGTTTATTTTACTGGTTTAAATGATAATACAAGGGAAATCATTGATTTCAGCTGATTTGGCTAGCAGAATAATTAGTCTGTTACAATTTAATAACAATAAAGAGTGTAACAAGAAATGGTCAAGGTTAAGAAATAGCTCAATGATTGTATCCGTTATTGATACGCTCTGATTGAATAATTTGTCAGCTACTAAATCTATTTCAACTATTTTAGTTAAATTCAATGATCATTGAATCAATTAAAGGAGTCAGGGAATGGAGAGAGAATGAGCGAGTGAGTAAACTGTTCAATTGTTTAACTCTCATTTTGAGCGCCTTTGCAACTGTCATTATGCTCTGCCAACTCTGGCCAGGCATTTGATTTTAGTTATTTTGTTCGTTCTTCTCGCCTGTTTCTTTTAATCAATGTGTTACTGAATACCAATTCTTTATTCTGTATTTGGTTTGTTTTGTTAATTTAGTGATATAACTGTTTCTGTGATAAAAAAATGTCAACTCTAGATATTCAACCAGAATTGGATCCTATTGAGACAGCAAAATTAGCGTCTCCTGCTAGCTCATCTTTACCATTTCATGTGCTCATACTGAGGATTATTTTAAGTGTTCTAGTATGTTTCCTTGGTTATTATTATTTGTACAAAAAAGCTCAAGCAATGAGAAGGAGAAATCAAATGGTCGATAAATTACCTGGACCCAAATCGTTTAACCCATTGATGGGAAATTTACCAATAGAGATACTTAAATATATTGGCGCTGACTATGAAGCTTCAAAGGATCTTTATTACAGTAAGTAATTTACTTTTGATAAATTGTGGAGATTCCAAAACAATTATAATTGGTTTTGTTATTAGAACAAAATCGTTATTAGAAAAAAGTTTTACCAGTAAGCAAGAAAATATTAAAGAATGAGCAGCTGATTTCAATGTTTAAATCTTACACGGTATGGAGTAAAAGACGAACCAGCAAAACTGAGCAAACCAAATAAACAAGCTGTTAAGCCTGACGCGCGTGATTTGACACAAATATTTGAAAATTAATATTGAAATCTGGAATTATTTTCTTTGAGCTCAGGAGTTTCTTTGCTACGTATTAAACAAATTGATCACTATTCTAATCAAAATTAGTAATTAATATGAAAAAATGAACAGTATTCACTAAAACAATTTTATCCAACAACTTTCTCCTCGATAAATCATCTCAATATGATTTACTTCACCCATGGTTAGGAACTGGTTTATTAACATCAACTGGTAATAAATGGCGATCTCGAAGGAAACTCTTGGTTCCAGCATTTCACTTCAAGATTCTACACGATTTTGTGCCTGTTTTCAATGAACAAGGAAGCATTATGGTTTCAAGATTAAGAGAAATCGCAAGATCTGGTGAAGCAATCGACATTGTACCCGTTGTTACTGCTTGTACATTGGACATAATCTGTGGTAAGTGTTTACAAATCAATCTAGATTGATCAGTGATTACCTCTCTAATCCTAAATTTTACTATGGTCTAGAAACCATAATGGGAGTATCGATTGGTGCCCAAAACAACCCTAACAATAGTTATTGTCGAGCTGTTTATGAGTAAGTATAAATTACATCAAATGATACGGAATGCTCCGAGTACCTGAATTTTCTCAAAACAATGAATCATTCTTTGCATTTTACTTTTTAAATTTATTTTTCAGAGTCGGGGAATGTTTCCTTGAAAGATTGATGCAACCAAGTTATTGGCCAGATGCAATCTACTATCGTCTGGAGCGAGGTAAAGAGTTTCGACGTAAAGTTCAGCATCTTCATGATTTCACAATGGGAGTTATTCGAGATCGTAAAGATGAAATGATGAACAAGCAAGGGAGACGACAATCTACAATCAGTTTGTCAACTGGTTCAGGTGAACCCATTTCATTGTCAATGCCAGCTTCTGGTGAAAGAAGGTTAGCCTTCATGGACTTGCTTTTGAAACATCATATCAATGGTGGTGAACTATCGGAAGAGGATATTCGAGAAGAAGTAGATACATTCATGTTTGAAGGCCATGACACTACAGCCATGGCAATGTCTTGGATAATTTATCTTCTTGGTCACAACATGGAGGTACAAGATCGCCTTGCATTGGAAGTTGACTCGTTATTTGATGATTTACATTCAGAAATGAGAAACGAATCCAATTCATCATCAACAACTGAAATTACTTTGGATGCTATTAAACAGCTTAAATATTTAGATTGTGTTGTTAAAGAGGGTTTGCGACTTTGCCCATCGGTTCCGTTGATCGGTAGATCAGCCACTGAAGATATGACCATTTCAGGTCATGTTGTACCCGCTGGAACAGTCATTTATTGCTTCATCTATCAACTCCACCGAGATCCAGAAATTTTCCCAGATCCTGAAGTATTCAATCCTGATAGATTTTTACCTGAAAACTCTGGTGGTCGACATCCATTTGCTTTTGTCCCTTTCTCAGCTGGACCACGAAATTGTATCGGACAAAAATTTGCTCTTGCTGAGCTTAAAATTGTTTTAGCTCGATTGATCCGCCATTATCGATTTGTTTCCCTCGATCAACCTGATAAAGTTTTATTCACTATGGAAATGGTTCTTAGACCTAAAGTTCCAATCAAAGTTAAAGTATACGAAAGAGTTTTCAATCGAACTCCTTACGGGTCATTGAATATGGTCCAATAAGCGAAATAACCATTTCATTCTAATTTTTAATCATTCTGATCTTTGAAACTCAAATTTAAATCAATCAAATAAATTTATTCTTGTTATTTACACTGCGTTCATTCATTTTTTTCACACTGTCGGACAGATCCCTTTGTTTACTCTTGGGTTCATGATCTGAAGTTAATAGCTACCTTTTGATTGAAATATATTTATAATAACTAAAGAGTTGATACTAAAATAACAATAAACACAATCGTCACATTTAACGTCGACAAAATGGGCAAAACCGAGTTAGATAAAATTTATTTCAAACTTAGACTCTGTCAGTTTGTAGCGACATAAAAACTGAGACATAAAATTTGAAAAATTCTATGATCAATAGTTTTGGAGAAAATCGAGTTCGAAGTTGAAACTTTGCTCGCTTTTTGTACGATTATGAATCTTGATTTTGGTATGAAAATCATTTTCCTGGTACAACTTTTGGTACTCAATCAGAAAATGAACTAATATAGAGAAATAAAATTTTCCCTTTTCTGTAAAACAGATTAGTTCGAATTTTAGTTGAACTGACCGCATTTCTTAACCATAAGAGTTAGAGAGCTAAAACTTATGATTTGGTCATAAAAATAGACAGTACACATCATAGATCGCATATTTTTTTCACTTCGTAAATAGTTCTCTTGATTTTGGATATTAGTATTGAAAATTTGAACCTTAATATTTCGAGAATAATTGCACCTACGACCGACATTCTTTGACCAAACATTAGATATTATTACGGGCAATAAAAAACTGACAAACATGATTGAATACCGATGAAAACCTGAGATAATTGATGCAATAATTGAAATATAAAACAATACATAGTCTTACGACTAGAAAAGCAAATTTCTTTGCATTCAATAGTGTAAACTTATGATTATACAGACACAATAATTAAGATGAGTGCTGTCAAAGCTCTAATATTTGAGTTGAGAATTAAGACTTGGTGATTAATTGTGGTAGCATAAAAACTGTGTCCATTAGTGCTTTCAACCAGTATCTAAGATCGATGGTTTTCGCAAGGACCGAGGTCAAAGTTTAAACTTCGATTCGCTTCTGTTCAATTATGGAAGCACATTGAGCAATGCAACTCATACCGATAATGTATCTTTTGATGTTCAACCAGAAAATGCAACGATTTTGATCAACAAAATTTGCTTTTCGAAATAAAACAGTTAAGTTCGATTCTTAGTTAAACCGGGCTCATTCTGCGACCTTAAGATTTAGAGAGCTTAAATTTATGATTCGTGCATAAAAATAAGATGTACACATCATAGACTGAATTGGTTTTTCATTTCGTCAATAGTTCTCCTGATTTTGGCCATTGGCTTCGAAACTTTGAACCTTAATATTTCGAGAATAATTGCACCTACGATCATCATTCTTTGACCAAACATTAGATGCTATTATGATCAATAACAAACTGACAAACATGATTGAACACCGGTGAAAATCTAGACTTATTGATACAATAATTGCAATATAACACAATACATTGTCTTGAGACTAGTAAAGCAAATTTATTTGCATTCAATGGTGTAAGCTTATGATTAAACTGGCGTAACAATCAAAAGAAGTACTGTCAAAGCTCGAATATTTGAGTTAAGAATTTAGATCTGGTAGTAAATTGTAGCAACATAAAAACTGTGTCCATTAGTGCTTTAAAAATATTTCTCTGATGGACAGTTTTCGCAAGAATCCAGGTCAAATTTGAAACTTCGATTCGCTTTTGTTCAAATATGGAAGCAGATTTCATAATGAAGACTCATTCTAAAGGTGTTAATTTTGATGCGCAACCAGAAAATGCAAAGATTTTGACAAATAAAATTTGCTTTTCGAAATAAAATAGATAATTGCGATTCTTGAATAAACTGAACGTATGCTGTTTCCGCGCGAGTTAGAGAACTAAAATTTATGATTCGTATATAAAAATTGTCGTTAAACAGCATACATTCAATAATTTTTTCTGTTAATCAATAGTTCTCATGATTTTGGGCCATTAACTTTGGACCTTAATATTTCGAGAATCATAGTACCTAAAATTTTCATTCTGTAAAAAATCATTAGATTTTATATCGTTCTATAAAATAATGAAATTTCTGATCCTTCAAGATAGTCGGAGAAAAGTTATAGCATTTTATTTGTTATGTTACCAGATTTTAGACTTGATTTATAAGGTAAATGGTTTTGCAAGCACAAATCTTCTTTCATGTTAGAAGGATATTGGTTATTGTATCAATCAGCCCAGATTTTTCTCGTTACTCAGTCATGTTTGTCAGTTTATAATAGCCTCTAATAAAATCTAATGTTTGGTCAAAGAATGATAATCTTAGGGGCAATTATTATCGAGATATTAAGGTTCAAATTTTCGACGCCAATGGTCTAAATCAGGAGAACTTTCGACGAAATGAAAAACCAATTCAGTCTATGATGTATAGTTTCATTTTTATGGACGAATCATAAATTTAAGCTCTCTAACTCTTACGGTCGCAGAATGAGGCCGGTTTAACTAAGAATCGAAATTATTTGTTTTATTTCGAAAAGAAAATTCTATTTAGTAAGATCTTTGGATTTTATGGTTGAGCATCAAAAGTAACATTATTGGTATGAGTTTCATTGCTGAATCTGCTTCCATAATTAAACAGAAGCGAATCGAAGTTTAAACTTTGACCTCGGTTCTTGCGAAAACTGTCCATCAGAGAAATATTTTAATAACACTAATGGACATAATTTTTATGCTACTTCGATTCACATATGCATTAGTGACATTAAAATATTTCTCCGATGGACAGTTACCAAAATCAAATACATTTGCATTCAATAGAGCAAGCTTATTATTAACTAGACATAGCAATCAAAAGAAGTACTGTCGAAGCTCGAACATTTGAGTTAAGAATATCTAATTGATGGCGAATTGTAGGAGTATAAAAACAAAACACATTAGTGCTTTTAAAATATTTCTGCGATGAACAGTTTTTGCAAGAACCGAGGTCGAAGTTTAAACTTCGATTCGCTTTTGTTCCATTATGGAAGCAGATTCAACAATTTAATTCACATCAATAATCTAACTCTTTATGGTGAACTTGGCAATGCACTTATTTTGCCGGACAAACTTTTATATTCGAAATAAAACAGATCAGAGCGATTGTAAGTAAAACTGGCCGCATTCGGTAGCCATGAGAGTTAAAGAGCTTAAACTCATGGTTCATCTATAAAAATCGTCGCTCTTCATCGATGATTAAACCTTTTTTTCATTTCATCAATAGTTCTCTTGATTTTGGCCATTGGCATCAAAACTTTGAACCTTAATATTTCGAGAATAATTGCACCCACGATCATCATTCTTTGACCAAATATTAGATATTATTATGGGCAATAACAAACTGACAAACATGATTGAACACCGGTGAAAATCTGGACTTATTGATACAACAATGAATATATAACACAATACATAGTCTTGCGACTAGTAAAGCAAATTTATTTGCATTCAATAGTGAAAGCTGAGTGTTAAACAGACATAACAGTCAAAAGAAGAACTGTCAAGGCTCGAATATTTGAGTTGAGAAATAAAACTTGTTGGTTAATTGTAGAAGCATAAAAACTGTGTCCACAAGTGCAATTCAAATATTTTCCAGGTGGATAGTTTTCGCAAAAATCGAGGTCAAAGTTTAGATTTCGATTCGCTTTTGTGCAATATTGGAAGCAGATTCAGCAATGAGACTCATTTTACTAAGGTAAAGTATAATGCTCAACCAGAAAATGCCCTTATTTTACTAAATAAAATTTTCTGTTCGAAATAATACAGATAAGTTTGATTCTCAGTTAAACTGACCGCATTTCGTTATCATGAGAGTTAGAGAGCTAAAACTTATGATTCGACTATAAAAACTGGTAGTGCACATTATAGAGCGCATTATTTTCTCATTTCATCAATAGTTCTCTTGATTTTGGATATTCGCTTCGAAACTTTGAACCATAATATCTCGAGAACAATTGCACCTACGACCGACATTCTTTAACCAAACATTAGATGTTATTACGGGCAATAAAAAACTGAAAAATACGACTGAGGAACGAGCAAAATCTGGGCACATTTATGCATTAATTAATATCTTTCTAGCACAATACATCTTTCTGGTAGAAAACCAAATAAGTTTGCATTCAATAGTGTAAGCTTAGTATTAACTAGGTATAACAATCGAATGAAGTGCTGTCAAAGCTCGAACATTTGAGTTAAAATTTGTGACTTGGTGATGAATTGTAGAAGCATGAAAACTGCATTCATTACCATCGTTAAGAAATTTGTAAGATCGATGGTTTTTGCAAAAATCGAGGTCAAAGTTTAGATTTCGATTCGCTATTGTTCAATTATGGAAGCATCTTGAGCAATGAAACTCATTTTACTGGCGTAACTTTTTATGGTTAACCAGTAAGTGCACTCATTTTAATAGATAAAACCCCATGTTCGAAGTAAAACAGATCAGAGCGATTCTCATTTAAACTGACCGTATTCTTTGACCGTAAGAGTTAGAGAACTCAAACTTATGATTCATCCATAAAAATTGACTGGGTACATCAAGGAACAAACCTTTTTCTCACTTCATCAATAGTTTTCTTGATTTTGGCCATTAGCAGCGAAACTTTGAACCTTAATATTTCGAGAACAATTGGACCCACATTAATTATTCTTTGACCAGATATTAGATATTATTATGGGCAGTAACTAACTATCAAACATGGATAAGTAACGAAAAAATCCGGGCTAATTGATACAATAGTGAATATCCTTCTAACACAATATAAGATTTATGTTTGCAAAACCATTTACCTTCATGCATAAAATCTAAAATCTGGTAACATAACAAATAAAATGCTATAACTTTTTTTCCGACAATCTTGAAGGATCAGAAATTTCTTTATATTATTGACCGTAATAAAATCTAGTGATTGGGCGACGAAAGATGCTTGTAGTAGCTATAATTATCGAAATATTGAGGATGAAAATTTCGATGCCAATGGCCAAAATTCAGAGAACTACCGCTTAATTGAAAAAACTGTTCAATCCTCGGTTTGCACAAAGAGTTTTAATAGACGAATCATTGGTTTTAGCTCTCTAACTCTCATGGTTACAAAATGCGGCCAGTTTAACTTAGAATCGAACTTATCTGTCTTATTTCGAACAGAAAATTTTATTTAGCAAAATAAGTGCATTTTCTGGTTGAGCATCAAAAATTACATTCTTCAAATAAGTTTCATTGCTCAATCTACTTCCATAACTGAATAAAAGCGATTCCAACTTTCAACTTCTAACTCGATTTTCTTGAAAACTATTGACTAGAGAAACTTTTAAATGGCTCGAATGGACTCAGATTTTATGTCTCTACAAACTAACAGAGTCTAAGTTTGAATGAAATTAATCTGAATCCGAATCGGCACAGTTGGGTCAATTTGTGCATTAATGTGACAATTGTGTCTTTTCATTAACAAGCTAACAAAAATCATCATAATAAGGATCAGTAAATCAACAAAACTCAATCAAAGTTCAAATTTGACCATAAGAAGTGAAAGAAACATTATTTTAGCTTTGTAATTGACTTTTTATTTAGTTGAAAATAATCAACATTATACATAATGTTATTTGTTGTTTAATTACATAATTACAATTAGTTTTACAGAATAGACTTGATAAATTGTCCATAAACTTCGACAAAAATTTCGTTTAGTACATTTACAATGGATAGTGAAGTTAACAATATCTAATCACTTTGTTTTCTGAATAATTTTTGGGCAATTTATATTATTCCATCTTTTGGTTAGCCACTACTTTGACCGACTAGGATAAAGACATGATGATTATAGAATTGACTGGACATTAGATGAGATAGAAATTCAGGTTTCTTATTTGTACATTCATCGCAATAACCAATGATTTTGATGACAATCACAGACTTGCATATTTGGCTCTGAAAAATATAAAATAAAAACGATTAGTTGGTTACTCCAGACAAATTGAGTTATAAACCTTACCATTTGTGTCTAGAAGAGTTGTTACAACTATTGACTAGATGCTCTTTTGTGGGTCCTTTTCACTCCTTTAGTTGAATGATGATTTATGATCCGATTTACTATCTATTGTGTTCAAGCAATTATTTCAAATCATTCGGAGTCTCGAAGATAATTGACGCAATTTAGCAAGTTATAACAAAACATTTAAAAACCAACAATGTAAAAATATTTTGTTTTAGCTAAGCCTTCCATCACAATAGACAGTTGAGGAAGGTAAAGGTGATTGTTAGCAAAATTATTGGACTAATGGACGATCCTGAACTTCTGTGCATTTTTGATTGTTTAAATGGTGTAACTGTAATGGGAGAAGAAATACAACAATTAATTGACAATGTTAATGTTAATGTTTAGGTTTATTGTGATTGTTGAGTAACTTACTTGAAGCAGGCTTCCATATCTTTTTAGCTGGAGGATCAGATTGGTACCAATGAGGGTTGTTGTCATTGAATCCCAACATGGACTGAATTGGACGAGGAATATGATGAGGTAAAGGTTGAGCTATCGGTTTAGTCGAAACAGTTCTTAGTGCTGGTTGAAATGATGGCTGAGCTTTGTGCACTTGGTATATCCTATCAGTCCTTAAAGGCCAAGGAGCTTTTGTCGTTGTAATGATCCGTTGACAAGCCACTAATAATGAAAAGTAAAGATAATTGTTGAATACAATGAAGAAATTAAGATGAATTAATGGATAATCAAATGTGACTTTTATATTGATCAAGATCAATTGGCAGGATGATGAGTGATTATATGTTAACTGGTTAATGGGTCTTTGGGAACAAGGGTCTAGTTTAAAATTGGATTCATTTAAAATTTTCATTTACAATTGAAAATGATTAACATTGAATGAAGCTCATCATTTCCGCCATTTCATTGAACTTGAAATAAGTGAACCGTTCACTTGCAAATGGTTATTTTATTTGATTATCAATCTAATTAGTAATTACCTTGCTTTGTGATTTTCATTCCAACAGTTAATGGATGTTCAGCTCGAATACAATTTTCACCAGCTTCTCTGATGTAAGCAACTTCACCATTGCCCAAGATTTTACCAGCCTAAATGTGATCATAAATTGCAAGAGTTAATATCATGTGATTGAAAGAGTTTTATATTTCAATTGATTTCCAATCAACTAATAATTTAACAATAATCAGTTGATGATACTTACAAAGCATTGATATCCAGTTGCGTCTCTGCGTTGAGTGAATGTATAAAGGATTCCGTCTTCTTCCCAGTTCCCTAAACACCGATATTCACGCTCTGTAATTGATTAAAGATAATTGTTATTAAAAAGGTGATTTTCATTAAAACGAATCTACATGAAAAAGTTTGACCAAAATGGTTGAGTTGGTTTGTTGATTAAGGAACTGTGGTTAAAGTGAATTAATGCAAAAATTAATCAGATTTTAAATTCAACGAACCATTGAATACAATTAAAATGAACTCAACTCAACTCAGATTGATATCGCTATTTGATTGTGTCCTTAAATATAGTTAACTCAATTAACTTTTACAAATGAAAGACTCACAATGAGATTGGGTTTGGTCAGTTTCAATGAAATGTTGAAATGAAAAAGATGAGAATTATCATGAAAATTATGGTTAAGATGAAGATGATTACAATGATTATGATGATGTTGCTGATGATGGTTCTGATGATGGTGATGGTGATAAAAAGTGAATTAAAATCAAACGAAAAATAATGATCTAGATGAATATGAATATAATAATAGCAATTGACAGTTAACTCTACAATTACACCAATTTGTGTGTCTTATTCAACCAACCAAACAATTTTGTCATTAATTTCAAATACTTTACAATTTATCATTCAATTAATAGAAACTTTATTCAAGAAAAAACTGAATAAAATGTTTCCTTTTTTTGGGTCAAAAAAGTTCAATTATTTTCTCATGAAAATAGTATTTACCTTCAAAAACATGAGATGCATTTTCACAACTGGAAACTGAATGATACATTATATCAGGATTATTACAATCAGATGATACTTTTGCACATAATCCAGTTACATTGGGAACGATTCCTGTATAATCACCGGTAATTGGACAAGGAGTTTGAATTGTAACGATTTTACCTGGAAAACAAGAAATGGTTCAAATTTAGAATCAAATTTAAAATTAAATCAATTTATTTCATTTGTTAATTAACTTACGTCCTTGGGTTATCCAATTGTTTGATGTAAAATGTTGATCATCACATAAATGAGCCAATAAATTAGGACTTGATTTGGCACCGAATTGAAACTCAAGTGTATTAGCTGATCGTCTTTTCATCCAAACACAAGTGTAAAATGATTCACCGCTATTTAAATGATTAATGGAAAGGTTTGTAAGTAAAACATTCAAATCAAAATGAAAATCAATAATTTCACATTTACTTTTTGCCATTTTTCTGGTTCATTCAAACCAAAAAAACGAATAAATTTTGGCAAATTGTTGGTAAACTGAAATGAAATTGTTGATCAATCAGCTGAAGCATTGGATCATCGACTTACCATTGAGTTGAACTGTGAACAATGAATCTATCATTTGGTGTATTTGATTGTCTCATTATACATTTTGATGTTAATGTCCTGTAGTTGTTGACCACATCTTTAAACTTGAATTGATTTCCATCGATTCGACTTCGATCCCATTTTCCTTGAGTCCAATCAGGAAATCGACATTTGATGCTCTCAGTAATCGGATATCGAGTCATTATTTTATCACCAATTGCTGTTGATTGACAATAAACAAGAATTGAGTTAATTAGCTTTGATCAATTTACTCTTTCAATTAGAAATGGCTTCAAGTCATTCAACTAACGTGTAAGTGTAAATGAATGAAATGCACCAATTTAAAGTCATGTTTAATTAACAGAACTTGAGATTGTTTAGCATATTCTTGACAATTTACTAATTGGCAAATAACTGACCATTAGTATCTGATAATTATTAATCAAATAAACAAATAACTTACTTGGAGTCAATGTTAATGTTTCATATCCAATCCTTGCATTAACGAGATTGGTTGAGCAAGTTGAATCAGCTGAGAGTGAGACATAAATTTGTCCGTTGGTTGAGTTTTCCCGAAACATCTAAAATTAAAACAAATGATTTTATAATTAGTTAACAGTGTTAATTGTGAATTATTTTGTGCTTTAAAATATTTTTATTTGTCAAAGATCAAGATTTGATCTAAAGTGACTCTAATTAATTTATGGTTAATCAATCATTTATATCCAGTCTATAACAACAACGAAAAGGGAAAGCCTTTTGTGCTTTTGTGTCTCCTTATGAACAGCTTATTGTCATCATTCAATAAAACTTTCACTATCAGACTCAACCAGAATATATTGTATCATCAAAAAAGTTCAATTGTGAACAATCAAGACAACCAACCTTGTGATAATAATCAGTAAACTGTTGATGGACTAATATTGATCAACAAAGCAAGTTATGAGCATTTATTACTCACGAGGGAAGTACCCGAGGTCATCCGAATAAAAGTTAATATTTTTATCAGAAATCAATGAGGTTTTATGAGTGTTTAATTGTCTCTAAATCTCCCGGGTAGCAAATTAAAGATTAACGAGAAAAACAAAATCAGAATTCAATTTTTTACATGTAAAGTATGGTAAAGAGCAAGCAAAACAAAATGAGTGAAACAAAAAGGCTCATCGCAATAGGTTCATATTATTGCTTTCACATTGATCTATGCATAGCGATAGACAATAAATGGCGCTTTTCGGCCCTTCTGTCCATTTACTACTCAAAAGAAGACGAACTATATTGTTTGTTGCTAAGACGAATTCAATGACACACTAATTATTGAAATCGGTTCGGATGACCTCGGGTACCCCCCTTGTCAATAAAAGTATGGCAACGGGTTAAGGATCAATGCTGTTGTTACACCCATTGAAGTGTTATAACAAAATAAAGGATTCAAGTAAAGACAGTCAAGAAACAATTCAATCAATTGATGTTCAGCAATTACAACAACAATCACTGTTTAACTATCGATATTACAATATACATATGTATAATATTATCAATGAAACCAAGAATCCATGAAGAAAAAGAAGGAATCTCTAACTTAAAGATGGACTGGCTGAAGCTTAAAAACCGGTGTTGGTCAACGTAATTGTATTTTAATAACAACAATAATCAATTCTAGAAGGCTTTTAAGCTGGTTAAATGGTTAAATCGATTGCTTTAATGGAAAGTTCATCTTATGTATTATATATTAACAAATTCCTAGTTCCTATTGAACCGGAAAGTCTTGATCATCTTTCACTTTAAACTAAAAGATTATTTTGCCATTTCGTTTTCCCTTTATCAACTTATTCCTTTCAATTCAGTTTCTCATGTTGATCATTTTTTACGAGTTGGTTGGTTACAGTTGATGATGATTAAGGAATGGTAAAGAAACTGATTAACATTGAAAGGAAATTGGTTAAAATGAATTGGACCTTCAAAGAGATTTCAAGTTGAACCATAAAGAGCCTTCAGCTATGAAAAAAGGCCAAAAATATTCAACAAAATCGGTATAAAATGGAAACAGGATTGGCCTATGAGAACCTCAAATTCATCGGGAATTGGCAATAATTTATGATTAACTTTCAAGATAGAAACGCCTTGATCAATAAACAATGTTGTTCCAGTTTAACCAACTTTTACTTGTGAACCAAACATTGATCAATATTGACTGTTAATGTGTACATAATTATTAACTAGTTGTAACAAGTAAGTAACAATTTGACAATTTACTAACAATTATTTTTAGTTAATTCAATGGGTAAATCAAGTTTAACCATTAATATAAGCTAATAATGCCTGTAATAATTAAACATGAAATTATGAATTAACCAGTGTAACAAACAAGAAAGCATATCAATAGCAATAAACAATAACAACTCAGATACTTTACAATGTAACAATGAATTTTCACCATGAAGATGCTGATGATGATGATGATGATGATTATGATGGGTAATCGGCCTTTTCTTGCTCAAGTGTAAAACCTTTCAATAATAATATAATGATAATGAATGAATGAAAGATATTGTATAATAATGAAAAATCTCAGGGTGTTTCATGTTTATACGCATTTAGAGTTAAAAAGCATATCGAAAATTGATATTACAGAAGGAAGGAAATAAGCATTTGAAAGATGATTTTTCTTCTTCTTTTGCTTTTCTTTTCTTCTTAATTCACCATTGCACTCTCACTTAATCATAATCATAATCATCCTGATCATTTACCAGTTTCATGATTGACAATCATCGTCATCATCATAATGAAAATTTAAAAATGAATTACAGTGAATTGAAAATGTATAAACAAGACTAACATTGTAAGAAGATATTCACAGTTGGATATTATTATTATTATTACATGTTTCAACGGAAATCCTAACATTTATAAACTAATAAGTTGACTATTTTTGTGCTTAAAACAACTCATTAATTGAATATCAAGTCAAGGCAAGGCCTAGTCTGAGTATTTATAATAATGCCAATGAAAGACACTAACGATCCTTTAACCAATATCTCAGTCTAGAGTTGAGTTGAGTCTATGGTTGAGTCAATAGACTAACCCAAGTAAGGTTCACCCTCCAAGAGCATATTAAATGAGACACTTCCTGTAAAGCACCTTTTGTCATCTTCAACCCATTTCCGTTTTTATATTTGAAACCAACGGATAAAGATGATGATTAGTATGAAAATAATGTCTTTTGTGCACTTACTCCACATCGATATTTTGGTCTATTTCTTGGTTCCGATGAAAGGTCCATTAGAGCGATGAATCTGTCACTTCCTCCGTTAGTATTTTCCCAGTCACCCAAACATTGAAATTGTATTTCTGTTTAAAAACAATTAACATTTCATCAATAAGTTTCAATAATTAAATAATGAATATTTATTTCTTCTTTTCTTACCTTGATCAGGAATTGATTGGCATTTACGGAAACGCGCTGAAAGGACATTCCCTTTTGGACAATTTGATATATCGGATGGACTTGAAGTACATTGGTCTTGACCATTGTTTGTTGTATAAGTCAACTTATAACGACCATTAATTGGACAGAAAACCTTTTCAATTGTTTCAATATTTTCTACTGGAATATGTTTACCTGGTAAATGAAAAGTTGATGATGATGAACATGATAATGATGATAATGAGTTTGATGATTATGATGAATATGAAAAGTATGAAAAGTATGAGGAGTAAGAAGGAGATGAAGATGAAGATGATGATGAAGTAAACATAATCAATGTATATTATAACGAGAAGAAACAGGTTATTTATGAAAGTTATTAGATGATAATGAAATGAATCAAGTAAGTTAGTTAATAGAAGCTCATTTCAATTTCAAAAGGTAAGTCTATTATTGTTGAAATCGTGATCTAAACAATCACAATATTAATTGCTTATCTTTTAATTTATTAATAGTTAATGAAACCTTATTTTTGTATTTAAAGGAATCCATATCAAGGTCAAGTCAACTGGATTAACAATCAATTAAAATTGAACATTTGGAGGAACAATCAAGATTCAAGATAATTACGAAGAGGAAGCAAAAAAAGGAATGAAAAAGTAGCCAAAACAAGTAGTGAAAAGGACTGAAAATAACTACAAGAAGGACCCAAAACTGGCCATTATATTCCTATGAATATTATGACAAAAAATGTTGATCCTGTGAAGTTACCGGAAGCTATAAGGTTGCAAGGTGCTAACACTAACAATGTTTGGGAACAATGAATGTTAACAGGAAATAAGGTTTGTCAATGAGATGAACCCCACAAAATATGGACAGGTTTTTATGATGTGAGAAGAGGCTTCAATGTCTATTCATAAATATTATAATATAACAAGAAAAAAGTGACAACCAAAATGATAATAATCTCGACATGATCAGGGAGTGAAAACACAAGTATTTTTCCTTGTTTCTCGTATAATATACATTGAAGGATAAATTACTTAAAGAATTGCTATAAATATAAATTGTAATTGTAATTAACTTACGAAATAAGATTAATTCTAATGTTGATCTATTCTCTTTCAGAGTTTTATCGGTTGGACAAGTGGCCTTAGCAGCTTCAACATTAGTGTAACATCGAGCCAATCCTTCAGCATGTATTTGTAATATATTACCAGTTTTAAGTGATAAATGTAAACATCTCATACAATTTGTATCTGGTCCAGTTGAGTCAGTTAGGATAACATTGGATCCATTGCGTTCATGACATGAACCCCATGGTGATATGGCATCAGCTTCAATGGTAATCTCCGAATATGTGACTTCATTTGAAGAAGATGATGATGAAGATGAAGCTTGGGTTTGCATCATAAAAGTACCTTGATACTCTATGGGAAAGTAACAGGTACAGTTGTAACCTGTGATGATAAGAAGAGGATAAAAAGTGGATGAGAAACAACATGTTAAGAAGAAGAAGAAAGAAAGAGAAGGTGAAAGAGAAGAAGATGAAGAATGTGAGGTGAATAAAGAAAGAGAAGAGAAGGAAAGAAGAAGATGATGATGATGATAAAATGAAGCACCAAAATCAACATCAACAACAAAAAAAAGAACAGGAAAAAGTACAATCTTTGGTATTTTCTAGTTTACGCTCTTCTTTTGAGACTTTTTTTGGTGATAGACGGTGAGTTGTGAGAAAAGGTGAATAAGATGAGAAGGAGGAGAATTGAGAGAAGATTAGAAAGAGAAGAAGAAATGAAGAGAAAAAAAGAAAGAAGAGAAAGAGAGGAAAGGCAAGTGAAGGAAAAAAACAAGAAGCAAAAAATTCAAAGTATGAAGTGAATTGAAAAAAGTCCATTCATAGATGACAATATTGCAGGTTAATTCATAGAAACCGTATTTTGGGTTAACTCTTGAATAATGGATTCAAGTATTTTTTGTGTCTCAACGGCAAGGGATTCAATGATAAGGTAATTGATATCATTTTATTTAAATTGCACTTTTTTCAGTATAAAAAATATTTCAGTTGTTATTATATTTTGATAGTTTGAGCATTAATCTTGTTTCATTTATTAAACTGACTTTCAAATATCCATTTAGGATAACTGTTTATTAGTTAAAATAGTTATCATTTAATTGGAAATATTGAAGATTCTTTTCTCATCTTTTGATTAAACTTTTAATCCTAAAATAAGGTTAATTGCTCGATTGCAATTAAATCGTTAACCATAAATAAGTTGCCAATAAATGAAACAATTTCAACTTGAAATGTTGGAATGAAAAGAAACAAAAAACTGATTGAAAGGTGGATTTACTTGATTAATGATGATTAATAAACTTACCATTAATTGTTAACAACAAAACTAGAATTGTGTACAATTTAGAAGCAATTAAATAATCCATTGTAATAATAATTTTCACAAAAATCCACAATTTGATTGAACACAATGAAAGCAAAAAGATAATCCAAAAATTAGAGTTTAAATGATAATGAAAAAGATATCGACTATTGGAAGACAATTAATTGTGACAAACCAATCAATTTAATCATTGATTGTGTTGACCATTAATTGGATATTGAATTATCCATTAAAAGATGAAAAAAGTTACTTAAAGTAAAAAAGAAACAAAAATTAGACATTTTTTCATGTTATTACAAAAGTTGAGTTTAGTTGAAGTTTGAATGTTAGTAAAGCACTTTGAGTTATAAAACAAGTTACGTTAAGGTTAAGTTATTTGGAACTGAGAACGACTTTAGACTTGGATTGACGCTCTTTAAGCTCACTCATAATGTGCGCAACTCACTCATGATGATAAGAAAGAGAAGAAGAATGAGAAAGAAAGAGAAGAAAGACAGAAATGATGATGATGATGATGATAAAGCCTCACCTTACTGTCAAACTTGTTTTCATTCATACTTTTCTTTCTTTCTTTTCGTTCTTTCTCTTCTTTCTTCAACTTACAAACCATTCGCCACCGATGGCCCAAACACCGTCCAAAGATCCTCACCATCATCATCATCATTCTCATCATCTCTCTCTTTCCCTCTCTTCTCTCTTCCATTATCTTCATTCCTCTCTCTTTTCCCATTCATTTTCAATATCATCTTCTTACTTATTTTGTTTCGCTTCGACTATTTTGTGTTTCTTTTCACTGAATCAACTAACATTATCATTATTATTTCCTCTGATTCAACTTAATTGCTCGTTTTTCAGTTCAATTAATGAACAATTTAAATTGCTATAAACTTCAACAATTTCATTTATTATTTGATCAATTTGATTTTATTAATTAAAGTCTATGTGAGTTTATTTTACTTGATAATACAAATAATAAACTTGATAATTTACAATCAGAAACAATCAAAGCTGATAGAGTCTTTGAACCATTAATCTTTATGTTGAATCTGCATTAAGTTGTCTCATTGACTTTGAAATACATCATCATTAGTTAATCAATGGTTAATCTCGTTGTCAAAAACAAAATCATCTGTAAAGAGTTGACCAAATGCTGGTGATTGATTAAATATTCAAAGAGTCAAACTGTTTCCACTCAAAATTGGGTTAAACACGATTGACATTTTCTGACCTTCAACCGTTCACCTTAAGCTGATGTCTACCAAAACCAGGAAAAAATAACCCAAAAAATAGTCCAGATGTGAACACTTATATTAATAACTTTTCATTATTTATGTTAACTCATAAAGTAAATGGCACGAGACTCAAAATATAACACAGATATTTGCATCTATTTATAAATACAACTGTAAAGGCTTATTGGGTTAAACCTCGAGGGTTAAACTTGAACGGAACCAACTTCCGTCAAGATTAACCGACAATGTTCATGGATTGAATGTCTCAAAATATCACCCACAATAGATAGGAATGATAATTACAACTATTATAACTGTTAAGCATAGTTAATTGTAATGGTTATTATAATGTCTGCTCTCTTTTACAAATCAACTGTAAATTGTCCAGTTATAGCATTGGAATGATGATTAAAAAAGGCAAGAGAGTAACAATTGACGGATATTATCATCACCATCATCATCACCAACACTAGCACCATTGTAATTATCATTATCATCAACATTGTCATTATCCTCCATCAATGGGTTAAAATGTTGACCAAAAAATATACTTTCTGATGTTTAATAACAAAAAAACATTGCATAAAGTAACCCTCAGGCCTGGTCAAATGATGATAATCATTTTAATGATATTTAAGTCCACTGATGATGGTATTGCAGCACATATTTATACTGATTATTATCATGTAAATGTTGATGTTATTTAAGATACAAAAAAGAAACAAGTTGAAATTGAAATAATCAACAGTAGACAACATCAACAAAAGCTAATAAAGCAAGCAGCTTCAATGTAACAGTTTTTTACCGTCAATAAACACAAACAAATGGTTAAACGACCAATTGATTTCAAGTTGCTATTTCCACCTTCAATTAATTTCGTTTACATTGTCACATTTATATTGATGGTTATCATTACTTTGATACTTCTAATGAACAAATAATTAACAAATAAAAAATTGAAAATAATTGACTAACATTAAAAAGTGTGATGAATAAATAGCCGAGTTTAATGGCGCATTAATTGGTAAGAAAACGCTTCGGCTGAGTTAGCCAATAGTTATTTATCATTTTTGGTTTTACTAATTGGGGTCAGCACTGTTTTAATTTCCTACTTTTTATTTTAATGCAAGGAATTGTTAGGAATTTACTGTTAATTAAAATTATCATTACACTGTACCTAGGTTAATAATGAAGCCTGCCGGGTGACAATCGTTTTAACAACTTAACATAATGTTAATGGTGATAACAGATTGACAGCCAACAGCAACAACAATTATCCAGAACAACTAATATCATGTAAGTATATTTTCAAAGCAAACCCTTTACATTTTTTACCTTCATTATCATGCTTTTAATAACACCAAAACAAATGATGTTTCAATGTTTTACAGTGTTTAATTTTCAATTCAACTAACGTAACAATTGGTACTAGAGTAAGCAGTTAATATGCATTGATGATTATGTTGGACACGAAACTGAATTGGAGGACCAAAAATGAGGCCAAAAGATGCTAGAGAAAAGGGAAGAGAAAGAAAAGAAAAAAGAAGAAGAAATTATATTTTTCTTTGGATTCCTTATGTTGTTGTTATTTGGCATTTGCTTTATTATCGATGATTTTCTAGCCACGCGTCAAACACACCAACCCTCTTCGCTTCATCCACTCCTACTGACAATATAAATATCAATGAAGGCAAAGGTCGATCCATCTTGGTACACCTTGAAGGGCCAACAGGAGGACGAAAAGCTTGTGTTAACTTGTAGATCATTTTTTTCCTTGATCTAACACTCGATTCATAAGACGATGATTATCAGTAAACACGCTATGAAAGGTCATCTCTATGAACCTATGCAGAGTAGGTTAAACATATAAAGTGCCTGAAGATGATGATGGGGCTGATGGGGATGAGAAGTAGAGTGAGTGAGTGAGTATGAGGGAATGAGATGAAGAGAATGAGGGAAAGATGAAAAGATGAAAAGAGGGAGGTTGGAATATTAAAGGTGCATTACAGAATGGAAATGCCTTTTAAGATACATTTCGCCGCATTAAACAGAGTCTCTGCTATAATCAATAGAATGCGTTGAGGTTCTGACAATAACAATGTATTTGCTTACCTTTTGATGTTGTGTTAGTTTGGTCAAGCAGATGGACCATACGTTGGTCAAGAGCATAACCTTACGGCCGCTCAGACCTTTACTTTCATCAATCTTCTTCAAGGTGTACAATTTATTTGCCAATCATAATAATAATAATAATAATCATGATTAAACATTGAATGTGGTCAGATTTTTATTTATTTTTAAAACAACTGTAAACACAAACAAACGGTTAATTTGTGGCCATTTTCATTTTATTAACAATCTGGTAATCTGGTTCAGTTAAACTTAATTGTCCAATATATTAAATATTAAATAGTGTTTACAAGGCATTGAAAAGTTAACCATTTGGGAGGTGAGAGTTTAATCATCAATTGAATGAATTTTAATCATCCTTAAATATATTGACATCAATCAATTTTTTTATTAACAAACATTTACTTTCTTATTTTTTTGCTTCAATCTTTTCTTTCATTTCAATACAAAACTCAATTCAATTGAATTCAATAGATTATATTATCATGGAGTGTGAAATTGCATTATTAATATTTTCATTTGATTTGATGATAAAGATTAAATCACGATGAGATTGATGATTTGTTGATGATAACTAACAAGAAATCAGTTAATAATGATAACAATCATTTTTATTGTTATTTGTCTTACAAATCAAACAATAACTTACAGAGTGTTAACATTCACTTTGAAATCCTCTTATTTGAATCACGTTTTTCATGGAGTCAATTGTATGATATATTTCATGACAATTCAGATCCGATACAAATCATTCCAATATATTCAAGTATAATGTTGTGTCACGAACTTTATTGAATTATTGATTCACAATAAATCATCAGATATATCTTAATCAATTTGAACAAAATTCAATGAAACAAATGCAAGTAAAGGTTAAAACCATAAATAAATAGATTCACTGAAAAGATTCTTGAAAAGTTTCCTTAAAATTGATAAAAAATGTTATCAAAATAAAAATACGAATTTGTTTCAAGATTAAAATGTTTTCATTGAAAGTTACTTTCAAATGTTAAACTCAAAAATTCCCATTATTATTGTGATGATGAACATGATTATTATTAGTTTGAAGATAGTTAATAATATTGGTAAACTTATTTTACTTTCTTGTTAAACAACCTCAAAGAAATCAGATGAAATAAATGTAAGAAAAGGTAAGAAAAGGTAAGAAGAAGAAGAAGAAAAGTAAAAGTCTTGAAGATGAGTTATTTCCTGTGAACTTGATTCGCTTCACTGTAACTGAATAGTTGATAAGATGAGAGCGCGTTGTACTCGTTGTTGTTGATGTTGCTGATGTTACTGCTGCTGCTGATGATGATAATGATGATAAAGCCGGCGATTGCCTTGAAATATTGCCAATTGACTGTAAATCCCAACAGCATAAACTAACAACAATTGAGTGAATCTCATCACAACCTTTCAATGGCAACTAAATTAGACTCTTTCTTTAACCTTTTCCTAATACATTAACCTGAGCAAAGGTGAATCTCACGGTTAGGTAAACCCTAATAATCTTGATTCACTTCAATACTTTCACCTTCACCATTTCATGATTCCTAGTAAAACACCTTACAGAAGAGGATAGATAATGATAGAGGACCAAATGGAGTGAACAATCAGTGAATCTTGTTTTCAACTATTAAAATGATACAAAAAGAGCAACTAATAATGATCATCAGCCATTAAACCAACCCTACAAACGCTTGGCACAAAAATCAGGTAATCATGTAAAAATCATAGTTAAATACAACAAAAAAAAAACAATTAATAGCAAACAATAAACTAAATATACATTTGTTTTTTATAAAAAGTTGCAAAAGTCTGAGATTAAACGGAATAATGACTCAATTCAATCCAGATTATAGATTATTAAGATTTTTAACTTGATCAAAAGCTTTCATCTTAAACATAAACGATGATGTGTAATATTAACTAATTAAACCTCCTTGATCATCAGTTTTTCCAGTGTTATAATCAAGAGATACTCAATCACATCATGCAAATAAATTTAATCAATCAAACCTTATAGCAACAATATAACAGTAAAATTAACAACTTAATCGATGTAAATCATATGTTAAGATCTTGGGTAAAGTAAGCACAATAGACATTGGAATTAAATGATGACTTTATTCAGTTGGTTTAAATGCAAGACATTGAAATGAATACTTTTTTCAATTAAAGTGAATTCAATTTAATAAACATTAACACAAATGATTATCATTTGAAAGGAAACAAATTTAAAGAAAATGTAAAAATAAAATGAAAGAAATTGAATGAATATAAAATTAACGAAAAAAGCCTCACAACTATCATGATGATGATCATAAGAAACTATTTCCCAGGTAAAAGGAGGATCTTTAACAACATTTTTACTCCTCCTTATAAACGGTCAGAATAAGCTAAATTATGTTGTTCAATATATCCGGCTCAATATCCTTAATAAGACAGAGAGAGAGAGAGAGAGAGAGAAAGAGAAAGAGATAAAATAACGAATGAATGAATGAATGAAAGAGATTATGAAAATTCAGGTTTTCCAGAGATAACAACGGTAAAGTTGAATTTGGCGCGTGGGATCAATAGATTAATACTTTGATCCATTAACTATCGACTTAGATTGGATTATATCAGGAAAAAAACGCAATTTTAAAGATATTCTTAAAGATACACCTTTTTTATCAATAATATTCACAATAATGATAACTTTAAGAGTTATAATAATGTTAATAGAAAATATAAAAAATGTTTCTTTTTGTGAAATTACATTATATAATGTTGAAGATTTACTCTATTAGACGCTTGGTTAGGAACCATATTTTTTTACGCTTTAACCTGTATGCGGTTTATGTTTAAATTTTGTTCGGCTTTCAAATAAAGGTTGGTATTTCACTTTTTGTTTTTACTTTTGTTTCCCTTTCTTATCATCTTCAGACATAATAAGTTGATCTTTTATTGTTGGTGTATCAGGATATATTGTTGATCAAGAGGAGGAGCAATTATCTAATGGTTATTAAGATGATCTAAGGACAAAGGATGGAAGATGATGAAATACAAGGCGTCACATGGTAACCAGAGGTCTTTCAAGTTGACATGTTTAAGTCGCTTTAACCTGCTTTTTCTTATGGTGCACGACGAAGAATGAAGAAAGAAAGAGAAAAGAAAGCAAAAAGGAAAAGAAAGAGAAAAAGAAAAGTAAGAGGAACATGACGACGACGATGATGATGATGATTATTAGGATGATAATGGTGAAAGTATTAATGATAAACAGCCAAGAGACAGAGAAGAGGAAATGGTAACAACAAAACCTTTAAGAAAAAAAAACCCATTCATGTTTTGGTTTTTTGTTTCTTGGTTGTATCCAAAATTGAGATCTTTTCCTTTTAAATTTTACTACGTTCTCTTTAAATAATAACAACGATAACACAATAATAATAAAATCATTATTATTATTGCATATCATACTCACATCTCATTGCTTGAAAAAGCTTTGTGTAACAAATAGCTGATATCTTGATTTATCTAAAGATATCTGATCAGGTGAAGTCTAATAGCATGAAGCTGATGAAAATTTTCTAGTCATTGTCAAGGTACCCTAGTGTTCAATTCACTTCTCAATTTGTTTTCAATTTTGTTTTTAATCCATTTTATTTAATAGAAACATCACAGATCAAATGATTACTAAGACCGTGTCTGCGTGGTTATAAAAAGCTCAGTGGAATTCGATTCAAGTCTCTTTCCATTGATTGTTATTCATTAATCATCCAAAGGGTCAACATATTCAAAAAGTGCTGGGTTGGATTTAGTTAAGGTATGAAACGGAGAGACTCAGCAAGGCATCTTTGTAACAATACAATCGCTATTAGAATATCATCTCATCATTATTGCTTTATTATGTCTCTAGAGCCTTAAGGAAACAGAATGATTGAAGTTTAAGGTGAATCAATTTCTGTGTTGGATAAGGTGCAGGAAATAATTTTATTTAATTACGGAAACGCATAAATTGTATGAGTAAAGAAGCGTTGGAGGTTTTTGGTTAAATGATGATCTTAATCTTTGAAGGTTTAACCAATTAGAATACATTAACATTCGCAAGACTATCCGTTTCAATGTCTACAATTTGATGGTCAATAAGTTAGCCGTAGCGAAACGGAGGAGAAAGTTGAAGATGAAAGTTGATTGTTACAAGAAATTAAAAGTTTTTAAGGTTTGGTCCGAGATGAATTAATTTGCTTTCTGAATCAACAACAACAACAACAACAATATCATCTTCATGATAATAATGATAATCAACATAATTCCCATTTGATCCTGAAATCGGCCTTTCAATCCAGAAATCCGCCTCACCTACTATTCTAGTTGCCGAAAAGTAAAGAAAAGGTGGAAAAAGGGAAAACAAACAAAAGTGAAAGTTGGCCCATTGATTTTAATTAAAGGAACACAAATTAAATAATAACAGCAACAACAACAAGACTGATGAGGATAAGGATAAGGATGATGATGGACCAAATTTTGACGGAAATAAACATTTAAAGATTAGGTGTGTAATAAATCATAGTCATAACCATAATAATAATTTGTATGAATTACATGAATCTTGTGAATACTTGAAAAACTGAAAGTAAATTATGGTAAGTCAATATTATAATGTTGAATGAAATGCAATTTTCAATATGTTAACCTGTCTCTTAATAATCAATTTTTTCTTCATCTTTTCTTACCGACAGGTTACAGTAAACAGTTAAAGGTGTTTTTGGTAAATTTAAGGTCATTCAATTGGTTTGTGTTGATTTTTGTGGCCTTTTCTTGTGACCTTGTCCAAAATTGTTTTCCCACAACAGCAAATGCTACAACCAATATTACAAGTAATACATATTGTATTAATAAGGTTATGAAAAAAAGGTAAAGAGAAAAGGAAAGAAGAGAAAATTTAAAGGGAAAAAGACGGAAAAATTGCAACAATTCTTGAGGTTTTCACTCATCTTTACACTATAACTATGATTACTGAAAAAAGAAACTAGAAATATTTGGAAATTCAAGTAACTTACTTATTATTATTACCATTACCTTTAATATGAGAATCACCATAACCATTACTTTTATGATTATTATTATTCTTATTTTTTGATTGATTTTGAAGAAAATTTCACCTTTATCTAACATGACTAACATGTTTCATCTGTTATTTTCATTTTTAGATTCCTTTTCATCATCTTTGTTATTCACCTTCTCCTGACGTGCTCATGAATTTTTTAATTTGTTAACCTTTATTGAACCGGAAATATTTTGAAACATGGTGCATATGTGATTATGGTTATTCATGGTAAATTTGGTTGTTGGATTCCGTAAAATATGGTTACCTCTCACAACCTTCAACTTATCATTCCACTTTGACAAAATGTATCAAAGTAAAAGTACAGAAGCAAGAAAAATCGACATTGAATAAAATCTCAAAGGACGATCACCTTTATAAAAGCAGGTGATCTAAAGAAACACTCAAAAGTACATTCACACACATACAGAGAGTGGAAGACAATTGTATTGTCAAACGGAAGAGGCACACAGCAATACACAAGACGGAGATGAAGGAAAAGCCAGAAAAGGATCAAAACCTAAATTGAAAGAAAGAGTGAGATCGAAAGGCCAGCAATTCAAGAGTGAGACAGCAACTGTTAGAGGTACAATTTGTGTGTCCATCGGTAAATTGTTACCTGTAAAAGTATAATAGTATTGAAAGAAGAGACCAAAAGAGAAAGAGAAACAATCTTGATAACATTGAGAGTAACTGTGGTCCAACCAAAAATAAGGGCAACTTCATCAATGGCTAAGGTGGATCCCTCTTTGCAGATGGTGTAGGAAGTCCGTTTCCGCTTTCACACTCTCTGTCTCTCTGGCTCTGTCTTCTCTGTCTTCATCTCTTTCTCTTCTTCTCTTTCATTTCCTTTCATTTCTCCTTTACTATCGAGAAATAAGTGAGTAAAGAAAGAAAGAGAAGAAAAAAATTGAGCAAAAATGTGAATGAAACTTGTAGTTTGCTTGAAACCTTACTATTATACTTGATATGCTTCTCTTCCTCATCTCTCATCATCACCAAAAAACTATCATCATCTTTCTTCTCGTCTCTCAACTAAACATTACATTAAAAGAAAAGGCAACAATTTCGCTGTTTTAAGGGCCAACAGCAAATGTTAAATAGTTACTCGGTGGCCTTACATTTGGATCTTTAATAGCACAGTGAATCAAATACATTCACAATTTGGCCTTCCTTCATATATCCTCATCATCATTATCATCATCATTCTCTTGATAGCCAACTTGAACGTCATCTTCACCCTCCTCCACCTCCTCCTTCAACTAACTACTATTACTGATCAAATGTAATACACACACACACATAGTTTCAAGTTAAATTAGCCGGCAACTTTGACGCTATCTCATCGTAATACTCCATTTACGATAGTTAAGATGATGTAGATGATGTTGATTGTGATGTGATGATAATATAAAAAGTTGATTTCTTCCTTGTGAGTTCCTTTCCATTTTAATGCCTCATTTTTCAACTTGAAATAAAGACTGAAATGAGAAATATTTTGTTTCACTTTTTTCCCTTCCTTTGGCTTGTAAAAAATCAAAAACACTTATCAATTGCTATTCAATTGATGCTTTTTTGTATCTTTCCTTCCCCGCTTGTTTATGCTTGTGTGTCTTTTTACATTTTATCAACACAACAATCAACATTACCATCATTATGGAACACTATATTCTCACTATTCATTCAACAGTTTTGTTAGACTTGCTTTACTTCCGATTATTAACTTAATCCAAATACAATCTGAGTCAAATGGTTACAATTAAAAAACCTGTTCCCTGTAAAGTGGAGTTAAAGGTAAACTAGAAATTAAAAGGTAACAGATGTAAGATGAAGGACATGAAGATTCACTTCTTCCCTTGAGGCAAATGATCCATAGGAATCATAATATTAATAATAGATGACAGCACTTAACAAAACTATGAAAACACCTGAGAGTATTATTTTATTTTGTTTGTTTGTTGATAGTCACGATTAATTGTAATTTGATAATATGTCGTCAATTTTGTCGCTTAACATTATCATTGTCACACTTTAAAGAGTAATCATCATCTTCATAATCGTTGGTCATCATCATTTTCATCAGCTTTTATCATTTTAACCACGGAAAGGAAGCAGACTAATGTTACCATTGCTGTTGACATGAAGGTTGATATTTATTTACAACTAAAATACCGTTTAATAATATCCTCTTCCTTTGCTTCATCATCTTCATCATCATATTTAGTGAGATATTATTTTTCACATTTAAGGACAACTCAACAAAAGATAATTAATACTCATAGATAAATTGTTAAGATAACAGTTTGTTATGGTATTTTTTTGTCACTTCATTCGGATGTTGCCTGTTTTTTTGGACTTTTTTCTTGATGCCTTTTGATGCTGTTGCTGTTAACATATATTAGTATCATCGTCATTGATGACAAATCGTGATTGGTCTTGTCGTTACTTGTCTTCACTACCATCCTTATCATCGTTGACTGAACACAGGAAGGAGAGGCCGAAGAATCAAGATGAAATAAACAAAAATCTAGCAACTTCATTGCCACAAACAGAAATATTATCTATCATAATGATGTTATTTAATATGGTTTCCATCATTTCCATCATTGCTGATGACTGTTAAATCACTTGAATATTCATTCGTAAATTTAATCTGCCATTGTCATCGTGACGAGTTGCAATATCCATATAATTTGACTAAGCGATTTTTTGGTTTCTATTGCGATTATCTGAAATATTCAAGTTGAATTTGATTTTTACCTTGAAATATAAATGTTTTAAAGATTGGTTCAATTGATTGTAAAAAATTCACTGTTGGCCTGTTTCTGCAATTAGAGCAGCTTCTTAAGCAGCTATTTACGATCAGTAATACTTGGAAGCTTGGAACCTGCAAAACGGATGCCATTTATTTCAATGAGAATATGACCTTTTTCCCTTGGCTTATCAAAGTTAAATCATAATTAATTCTCATTGTGAATAGTTTTCACTCTAATAAACATGTTTGATCTTTATCTAATAGTTATCAAATGATTGTGAAAAAATGCAGGTAACTAGTTGATGGTGCAGCTTTTAAAGAGCAATTGGCAAAACCGTTTCTCATTTTATTGAACCAATTGGTAGTTTATTTGCATAATAACGATTAACTTGATGATAATTTTTTGCATTACTTTCTTTTACCTTTTAAAATACAGTTTATATGATTATTAAGTTTATTGAAAATAGTTGTAAAATGTATGATATTAACATGATGGCGCAGCAAAAGCCAGGTAAAGAAAGCAAGGTGAATGTTAAAAAACAAGCAAAATATTTCATTGACACACCTAATAAACAATTTACTAATGACAATGTTACCGTTCAATAGTTAAAGGTCAACGAAAGGAAGACGCTGGAAATTGATGGAGATGAAGATGGCGAAAGAAAAGAATTTCTCAGATTTGTTTAAGGAACAAAAATATTGCATCTTACAAGTGATGACCTGAGGTCTCTTCAAGGGGCAAAGTTGAAGTAAGACATTGAGATAAACAGACAAACAAGAGTCAAAAAGCAGTCAAGTTATTACAATTTTCGTGTTGCTATCTGTTTTTTTTGCCTAACAGTTGATGGCAAAAAATAAAGCCAAGGCCTGAGTCACGCAAATTCCTTTGATCAAGAAAAAAGATGAACAAGAGACGGCAAAAGAAGATTACAAAGATGAAGATGACGATTCAATGGAAGATGTTGTTGTTGATGTTGCTCTTGATATCAATAAAATGTAAGAAATGCTGTTCATTTCATTTTGTTTGACCTGTCATGTTGCAGCCTTTTCAACTGTACACTTGAACGGATCATTGGATACAATATTAGTCGCCATACATTTAGTTTTATCATTCAAATCAAGTCATCAACATTATTATGATGGACTATTATTTGGCCTTTTGGCATGGAAATGAAATTTTGCAGCAAAAAACATAAACAAATTCCTTGTGATCATCGGTAAATTGTCCGTGATTGTGGTTAACATAGGCTTAGCCATGTATTAAAATACATGTGGGGATGTTGATAAGCTTGACTCAAGGATGGCGAGGTTGATGATGAAGAAGCTTGGTAAGATGAAGCCAAGTAAAGATGATGATGATGATGTTATGTTATATAATATATTACATAAAAAGTGATATGCAAGATGAAATCGTTTGATGTTAGATTTGCTTCCACTTATGTTTACTGGAAAAAAGATAAAGATGTTGGTGATGATGATGATGGCAAGATGAGCAATGAAATATATTTTTTCAATGCTACATGTATATCCTGTTGTCATTGTTGTTTTCCCTGACTAATCTAGCAAACAATTTACTGGTTCAAGAAAATTTAACAAAAAGTCTCTCTGGCCTTAAAGATGTTATTAAGATTTTTCAAATAATGCGCTTCTCTGGTTTCCTTCAACTTGTCATATGTTTTCAGCTAAAAATTGATAGATATCGTTGTTTAAATTAAAGATGTATTTCATTGTAAATTTTTCACTTGAAAATTGAAAGATAAATGTCCATTTGTAAATTGACTTTTTGTTTATTTCCTAACCATCAACATTGATTATTTCAATTGAAGCAGCCCATTAAGCAGACCAGTGCGTTTATTGATCCTTTTATTTTAGTGTTAATCTTTATCGCCATCTTAATCATCATCACATTTCTTGCTCTTTTCTTCCGTTAAATGATTTTCTTTCCCATGGAACAAATATTTTCAATACATTTTACTTTGAGATGGAAAACACCGAAAAATGTAAGTAGAAACTATGTATTGACCAGTCTTTGTTGACCTCTAACTTGCCTTTCTTTTTTTTCTTTGCCCCTCCTTAGACTTAAAACCTCAGATTGTGACCTTTTTATTTTTCCTGTGAATCTGGTTTTTGGTCCTTTACCAGCCGTGATAATGATGACCCTTTAATTCTTGATAGTCTATGGGAATATCCGGTCCATTGAATCAGCTGATTAACGATACTGTGACATGAGAATCGTAAGAGTTTGAGTCTCTTTGAGTTACAGTAAAGCAAGTGTTTCGAGTAAAGAAGGATTCCTTGTCTATTTTTCTTCCGCTTTTCTGTTCTTTTTCTTCTTTTTCCTTTCTTTCTTCTTTTTCTTCTCTATCTTCTTTGTCTTCCCTTTCTTCTCCTCTTCACCTCACTCGAATTTCTTATTTCATTTCACTTTACCTTTACATTTTTCTCTGTCATTTTTCATCTTGCAGGTAAAAGATACTTAACCAACCGACTAACGGATGTTTTGTTGATAACACACTTTCATTCTGTCAATTGAAAAGTAATTGACAGAACTGAAATAAATTGTGATAAACAAGGGTAACGTCAAATATTTTTAGTCTAAAATCAATTGAAGCTCTGTTTGTTTACTCTTACCTGTTATAACAGACCAAGCTATAACAACAAACGACAATCATGTTGATAGTTTTTGACCAATGAATCCATAAATCTTTGTTTTCATTTTTTTCCTTCTCTCTGTAAAAACCATTAATTATCTTTAAAATACAATTATCCTCATCATCAGTATCATCATTATTTCATTTCATTTGTAGATTTTTGCTTCTTTTTGCTTTTCCCAACTGTCCAACCAAATAACTGTTTATCCAAATCATTTATTTGACAGCCTGTTAATTAACTAATGAACAGTTTACTTGTCAATTATTGTCACTATCATTTCAACAATTTAGACTTAAAATAGCATTTACAGAATCAGTATTTTCTTAAATGATTAATGATTTACGTTATGAACTTTTCATTATCAGACCAAAGAAAATAAATCTTACTCTTAACAGATAGATTGACAAAATATTGATTTGTTTTTAAAAATAATCAACCTTTTATTAACAATTAAATTTTCATAAATTTTGCTTTTGCACAATATTATTTATGAACGGTCCATTAAAAACGGTTAAACGGCCCCCCTAATTGAAGGCTTATGCTTTATTTTGCCTAATCATGTTGACTTCTTTTTTATATGAGATGATATCTTATTTTACATTATGTTTAATTTTTATTACATGAAAGTTTATTTACAATGCTGATGTTGTTAATTGTATGTCATAACCATTCCAATTTAAATATAATTTGTCTCTCAACGGAAAAAAATCAACAACAAGCTTCATGTGTGGTTACATGCAATTTTCAAGATATGCATAATATATTTACCATGATTATGAAAGTTCATTGGGAAAAGAAACGGACAAACAGCCCGTTAACCTGTCTGCCATTGTTTGTCGCATCATGACTTTTATCCTCCTCCTCATTATCAACATGTTCATTTTTTTCTTCTTCTCTCCAGTAACATCACATCACTCTTGACCATCATCAAAAATTTTATCACCAACAGGTTCATCCTTAATGCATGAAAACAACTCTATTATCAACTTGTATCAAGGTAGCTAATGATGGTTAACTGACAACAATTATGATGACAATTTGTTTCCCAAGCCATTTTAATATCTTCATTATGTAAACAAGAAGCCAAAAGGAGAAGGAAAAATCTGCTGATAATCTCATTAATCTCATTAAACCTTTATTTGTATATTCATTGTCAGTATACATTATCATCTCAATCTTCATCACCGTTGTCATTGTCACTGACGTAATCGTGGTTATGCACATTTTTTTCAAAATCATCAACCAATGTCATTCAACAAAGGTTAATCGCCAGAAGTCGGGTCAAATGGTAGATTAAGATTAAAAGAAATTATGATCTGTCAAGATTAAGCTTAACGTCGTTAACTAAAATTTAAACAAGTGTAACTACAGCCAAAGCCGAGCCTAGTTTCTTGCCCTTGGTTATAATGAAGACGATAAAATATGATCAATATTTTAGCTGCTTACTGTCAAAGCGAAATTCACAATTCACCATTTCACCATTACCATCTTCCTGGTCTACATCAAAGATGAATGGGAAAAAAAGGGCCAAACAGACAAAAAAGGAGGACAAAGAAATAGCAAAGGAAAGTGGATTGAAGGATAGGTGCAATACAATGATTGGGAAAGCAAAAAAAGGACCAAATCTTATTATCATATCATCCTTTCTTCTTGGTCCAACCAACCTCTGGTGACAACACAATATTTCCAATAATAACTTGAGATTACGTTTTTGCTGCATAAGGAGACAATATCATTATTATGTGTTATTTGCTCCTGCTGCTTTTTTTACTTTTTGCATCTTTTCATGTCTTCAACTACTATATTTGACTTCAAGGATGGATCCTAATTTTTTTTATGAATACACATTATTCAACTCAATGTGCATTCCAATGATCTCTGTACTTCTGCCTAGGTATATGTGTACATTGGGACACGCGAAGATGTTTTTTTTCACAAATGGCTGTTTACATTTTTTACTGTCTTCAATCAAAGATGAGGTTAACCTGACTTTATAGACGTGAAAAATGACTAAAAAATGGCTCAAGATGATGAAGGACATGATAATGATGATGAATATTGTGCTCTATGCTCTTCAAAGGTAAAAATGCAAATCAATGGCCTGTCTTTTCCAACCTCGTGTCATCGGTATCGTTGTAAAACTGTCTGTATTTTGTTTTTTAGTCAATAGCTATAATAACTCAATTCATTTGCATTTCACTCTTTTGCCCATTATGTATTATAATAACAATCGTCATTTAATTTCAATCTAATATGAATGCATAATTCATGTATTTACATGTTCAACATGTATTATGTTGGCCTTTGTTTTTGTTTGTTGTACAATACATTGACATTTTGTTACTATTTTCATTATTTCAATAAATTCATGTATTTACATTTACAATTGTGTTTACAATCGTGGTTACATTCATAATTAATTTTACTTTTAATGTGATAATGACAATCAACAGCAATTACTATCAACATTTCAGTTATTGTTATACTCAAGCTATCAGTACAATGGTGTCTATGGTTAATTATTTTAGCATAATTGTTGAATTAAAGGAGCTAAATTTATGACCAGAATGTTTTATAAATTGTTTAATCCTCAATTGAGTTGAAAAGTGTTATCAACATTAACATTTGATGGCTAAATTTTCGTATAAATGCGATAATCTCATTAAATTGTGATATTATTACCTTTATTCCAGGTAATTGGTTAGTTTATAGAGTGTAAAAGGTTAGCATTGATTGATGATGAATGTTAATTAAAAGTGATCAATCATTTTCCAAATTGATTACTATCAATAAGATTTTTAACTTGATCAAAAGCTTTCATCTTAAACATAAACGATGATGTGTAATATTAACTAATTAAACCTCCTTGATCATCAGTTTTTCCAGTGTTATAATCAAGAGATACTCAATCACATCATGCAAATAAATTTAATCAATCAAACCTTATAGCAACAATATAACAGTAAAATTAACAACTTAATCGATGTAAATCATATGTTAACATTTTGGGTAAAGTAAGCACAATAGACATTGGAATCAAATGATGACTTTATTCAGTTTGTTTAAATGCAAGACATTGAAATGAATACTTTTTTCAATTAAAGTGAATTCAATTTAATAAACATTAACACAAATGATTATCATTTGAAAGGAAACAAATTTAAAGAAGAAAATGTAAAAATAAAATGAAAGAAATTGAATGAATATAAAATTAACGAAAAAAAAGCCTCACAACTATCATGATGATGATCATAAGAAACTATTTCCCAGGTAAAAGGAGGATCTTTAACAACATTTTTACTCCTCCTTATAAACGGTCAGAATAAGCTAAATTATGTTGTTCAATATATCCGGCTCAATATCCTTAATAAGACAGAGAGAGAGAGAGAGAGAAAGAGAAAGAGATAAAATAACGAATGAATGAATGAATGAAAGAGATTATGAAAATTCAGGTTTTCCAGAGATAACAACGGTAAAGTTGAATTTGGCGCGTGGGATCAATAGATTAATACTTTGATCCATCAACTATCGACTTAGATTGGATTATATCAGAAAAAAACGCAATTTTAAAGATATTCTTAAAGATACACCTTTTTTATCAATAATATTCACAATAATGATAACTTTAAGAGTTATAATAATGTTAATAGAAAATATAAAAAATGTTTCTTTTTGTGAAATTACATTATATAATGTTGAAGATTTACTCTATTAGACGCTTGGTTAGGAACCATATTTTTTTACGCTTTAACCTGTATGCGGTTTATGTTTAAATTTTGTTCGGCTTTCAAATAAAGGTTGGTATTTCACTTTTTGTTTTTACTTTTGTTTCCCTTTTCTTATCATCTTCAGACATAATAAGTTGATCTTTTATTGTTGGTGTATCAGGATATATTGTTGATCAAGAGGAGGAGCAATTATCTAATGGTTATTAAGATGATCTAAGGACAAAGGATGGAAGATGATGAAATACAAGGCGTCACATGGTAACCAGAGGTCTTTCAAGTTGACATGTTTAAGTCACTTTAACCTGCTTTTTCAAATGGTACGGATAAGTTAAGAATGAAGAAATAAGGAGAAAGAGAAAAGGAAGAGGAACATGACGACGACGATGATGATGATGATTATTAGGATGATAATGGTGAAAGTATTAATGATAAACAGCCAAGAGACAGAGAAGAGGAAATGGTAACAACAAAACCTTAAGAAAGAAAAACCCATTCATGTTTTGGTTTTTGTTTCTTAGGTTGTATCCAAAGTAGCGATCTTTGCCTTTTAAATTTTACTATCACCTTTATCATATGTTCTCTGTAAATAATAAACACAATAATAATATAAGTATTATTGTTATTATTATTATACTCATTATTGCTTTATGAGTTTTCAAGAAACACTTCTCTTTGATCCGTAAAAATATTCATTGCAATCTGCATCTTTTATCTTTCTATTCATTCATCCTTAGCATGATAATAATCTCTTTTCATTCTTACTTCAGAAAGTCATCTTTAAATGAAAATGAATTCAATTTTGTTTCTGTCTTTCGTTGATGCACAGGTAATTAAAACTCAGTATACGCTGCTGGTTAATGCTATAAAAAATTACAAATGATTTTAAAATAATGCCGAGCTATACCTTAAATGTTTTGCAGGTTTCTTTTCAGGTTGATTTCACATCAGAAAATTATGCTCAATAGCGCTGAGTCAGCCATGGCGAAACGGAGGAGAAAGTTGGAGATGAAAGTTGATTGTTACAAGAAATTAAAAGTTTTTAAGGTTTGGTCCGAGATGAATTAATTTGCTTTCTGAATCAACAACAACAACAACAACAATATCATCTTCATGATAATAATGATAATCAACATAATTCCCATTTGATCCTGAAATCGGCCTTTCAATCCAGAAATCCGCCTCACCTACTATTCTAGTTGCCGAAAAGTAAAGAAAAGGTGGAAAAAGGGAAAACAAACAAAAGTGAAAGTTGGCCCATTGATTTTAATTAAAGGAACACAAATTTAATAATAACAGCAACAACAACAACAACAAAACCGATGATGATGAGGATAAGGATAAAGATGATGATGGACCAATTTTTGACGGAAATAAACATTTAAAGATTAGGTGTGTAATAAATCATAGTCATAACCATAATAATTTGTATGAATTACATGAATCTTGTGAATACTTGAAAAAACTGAAAGTAAATTATGGTAAGTCAATATTATAATGTTGAATGAAATGCAATTTTCAATATGTTAACCTGTCTCTTAATAATCAATTTTTTCTTGATCTTTTCTTACCGACAGGTTACAGTAAACAGTTAAAGGTGTTTTTGGTAAATTTAAGGTCATTCAATTGGTTTGTGTTGATTTTTGTGGCCTTTTCTTGTGACCTTGTCCAAAATTGTTTTCCCACAACAGCAAATGCTACAACCAATATTACAAGTGATACATATTGTATTAATAAGGTTATGAAAAAAAGGTAAAGAGAAAAGGAAAGAAGAGAAAATTTAAAGGGAAAAAGACGGAAAAATTGCAACAATTCTTGAGGTTTTCACTCATCTTTACACTATAACTATGATTACTGAAAAAAGAAACTAGAAATATTTGGAAATTCAAGTAACTTACTTATTATTATTACCATTACCTTTAATATGAGAATCACCATAACCATTACTTTTATGATTATTATTATTCTTATTTTTTGATTGATTTTGAAGAAAATTTCACCTTTATCTAACATGACTAACATGTTTCATCTGTTATTTTCATTTTTAGATTCTTTTCATCATCTTTGTTGTTCACCTTCTCCTGACGTGCTCATGAATTTTTTAATTTGTTAACCTTTATTGAACCGGAAATATTTTGAAACATGGTGCATATGTGATTATGGTTATTCATGGTAAATTTTGTTATTGCGTTCCGTAAAATATTGTTACCTCTCGCAACCTTCACCTTGCCTCAATGAAGTTCAAAGCCAGCAAAACAATGCTAATCAACTATAATAACATTGATAATGTTGGTCTTTGATGAAACTGATATGATTTCATTTTTATTTTCATTCTCAGCTATTTAACTCATATGCATGTAAATAGCTGATCTTTTATTGTAACGTGCTCATGATTGGTCAAACACAATCAATGTTATTTCACTGCTGTTTCCTTGGACTCGTGACTTGATCTTTTCTTGGTCAGTTCTTAGGCCCAATCTCATGTAAGATGTTTCCTTTGTTGTTATTTATTTGTCATTATTATTTACCTCTCACTGTTATTGTAACTATTCACTCTCACGCAACTTGATTTACTTGATTTCATTTTTATTTAACCATACATTTAACCATTATTACAACTTTACCAGGCTGCAACTTCAATAAAATCACATCTATTTCAAGTACAATTAGTGATGTTAATAATTGTTACAATTAAATGTAATCTCAATATTAAGGTGAGGTTATCACCGATTATAAAATTGTATCATATTAACTGGATACATTGGATTTCATTAGAAACAAACAAGATGATGATATTAATAATTTAACATTGAACATCAATTAAACTAATGATGGTTAAGATGATTGTTTACTGGCAAACCAGTCAAAATTTTATTCCCATATTTATTATGATCATCATTACCAATAAGGCGATGATTATTGGAAAATAAATGATCCAAGATTAATGTATTAATGAATTTAACTAATCAACTATATTGTAATAAAGGTTCATAACATTAGACTAAAATATAAATTAAGAAGCAAAATTGAAAGGAAAAACAAAAACCAAGCCTGAAATTGAAACTTATCATCATTTGTGGTTGTACAGTTTTTGATAAACCTTACAATTATTTTGATTTGGAGGCCTTAAAATCAAAGTACAAAAATTATAATACAAATGAAAATGCGAACCAATCATGTTTGATAATCATTGAGTTGAATACATTTACTTTATGTAACAAAAATTGAAGCTATTATAACTTGACATTTAGGTTTGGTTTGCTTCTTTCAATCACAATTTAATATTTAATATGAATCAGGAAAAGTTAACCCTTGAGGCTAATTGATAGTCCTTAATTGTAATCATGATATAAGTTATTAATACTGGGCAAGGAAAACGCCTCCATTGATGGTCCAAAGAGGTTCATTTTGTGTTGTTTTGTGTGTTCACTGGTTTTTTATTTTGAATAGAGAAAGTTATTATTTACAATTAATTGTTTTTGTATTTAACTATGATTTTTACATGATTACCTGATTGTTGTGCTCAGCGTTTGTAGGGTTGGTTTAATGGCTGATGATCATTATTAGTTGAAGTTGCTCTTTTTGTATCATTTTAATAGTTGAAAACAAGATTCACTGATTGTTCACTCCACTATCATTATCTATCCTCTTCTGTAAGGTGTTTTACTAGGAATCATGAAATGGTGAAGGTGAAAGTATTGAAGTGAATCAAGATTATTAGGGTTTACCTAACCGTGAGATTCACCTTTGCTCAGGTTAATGTATTAGGAAAATGTTAAAGAAAGAGTCTAATTTAGTTGCCATTGAAAGGTTGTGATGAGATTCACTCAATTGTTGTTAGTTTATGCTGTTGGGATTTACAGTCAATTGGCAATATTTCAAGGCAATCGCCGGCTTTATCATCATTATTATCATCATCATCATCAGAAGCAGCAGTAACATCAGCAGCAACAACAAGTACAACGCGCTCTCATCTTATCAACTATTCAGTTACAGTGAAGCGAATCAAGTTCACAGGAAATAACTCATCTTCAAGACTTTTACTTTTCTTCTTCTTCTTCTTACCTTTTCTTACCTTTTCTTACATTTATTTTCATCTGATTTCTTTGAGCTTGTTTAACAAGAAAGTAAAATAAGTTTACCAATATTATTAACTATCTTCAAACTAATAATAATCATGTTCATAATCACAATAATAATGGGAATTTTTGAGTTTAACATTTGAAAGTAACTTTCAATGAAAACATTTTAATCTTGAAATAAATTCGTATTTTTATTTTGATAACATTTTTCTGACAATTTTAAGGAAACTTTTCAAGAATCTTTCAATGAATCTATTTATTTATGGATTTAACCTTTACTTGCATTTGTTTCATTGAATTTTGTTTAAATTGATTAAGATACATCTGATGATTTATTGTGAATCAATAATTCAATAAAGTTCGTGACACAACATTATACTTGAATATATTGGAATGATTTGTATTGCATCTGAATTGTCATGAAATATATCATACAATTGACTCCATGAAAAACGTGATTCAAATAAGAGGATTTCAAAGTGAATGTTAACACTCTGTAAGTTATTGTTTGATTTGTAAGACAAATAACAATAAAAATGATTGTTATCATTATTAACTGATTTCTTGTTAGTTATCATCAACAAATCATCAATCTCATCGTGATTTAATCTTTATCATCAAATCAAATGAAAATATTAATAATGCAATTTCACACTCCATGATAATATAATCTATTGAATTCAATTGAATTGAGTTTTGTATTGAAATGAAAGGAAAGATTGAAGCAAAAAAATAAGAAAGTAAATGTTTGTTAATAAAAAATTGATTGATGTCAATATATTTAAGGATGATTAAAATTCATTCAATTGATGATTAAACTCTCACCTCCCAAATGGTTAACTTTTCAATGCCTTATAAACACTATTTAATATTTTATATATTGGACAATTAAGTTTAACTGAACCAGATTATTAAATGTGTTAATAAAATGAAAAAGGCCCACAAATTAACCGTTTGTTTGTGTTTACAGTTGTTTTAAAAATAAGTAAAAATCTGACCACATTTAATGTTTAATCATGATTATTATTATTATTATTATGATTGGCAAATAAATTGTACACCTTTAAGAAGATTGATGAAAGTAAAGGTCTGAGCGGCCGTAAGGTTATGCTCTTGACCAACGTATGGTCCATCTGCTTGACCAAACTAACACAACATCAAAAGGTAAGCAAATACATTGTTATTGTCAGAACCTCAACGCATTCTATTGATTATAGCAGAGACTCTGTTTAATGCGGCGAAATGTATCTTAAAAGGCATTTCCATTCTGTAATGCACCTTTAATATTCCAACCTCCCTCTTTTCATCTTTTCATCTTTCCCTCATTCTCTTCATCTCATTCCCTCATACTCACTCACTCACTCTACTTCTCATCCCCATCAGCCCCATCATCATCTTCAGGCACTTTATATGTTTAACCTACTCTGCATAGGTTCATAGAGATGACCTTTCATAGCGTGTTTACTGATAATCATCGTCTTATGAATCGAGTGTTAGATCAAGGAAAAAATGATCTACAAGTTAACACAAGCTCTTCGTCCTCCTGTTGGCCCTTCAAGGTGTACCAAGATGGATCGACCTTTGCCTTCATTGATATTTATATTGTCAGTAGGAGTGGATGAAGCGAAGAGGGTTGGTGTGTTTGACGCGTGGCTAGAAAATCATCGATAATAAAGCAAATGCCAAATAACAACAACATAAGGAATCCAAAGAAAAATATAATTTCTTCTTCTTTTTTCTTTTCTTTCTCTTCCCTTTTCTCTAGCATCTTTTGGCCTCATTTTTGGTCCTCCAATTCAGTTTCGTGTCCAACATAATCATCAATGCATATTAACTGCTTACTCTAGTACCAATTGTTACGTTAGTTGAATTGAAAATTAAACACTGTAAAACATTGAAACATCATTTGTTTTGGTGTTATTAAAAGCATGATAATGAAGGTAAAAAATGTAAAGGGTTTGCTTTGAAAATATACTTACATGATATTAGTTGTTCTGGATAATTGTTGTTGCTGTTGGCTGTCAAGCTGTTATCACCATTAACATTATGTTAAGTTGTTAAAACGATTGTCACCCGGCAGGCTTCATTATTAACCTAGGTACAGTGTAATGATAATTTTAATTAACAGTAAATTCCTCACAATTCCTTGCATTAAAATAAAAAGTAGGAAATTAAAACAGTGCTGACCCCAATTAGTAAAACCAAAAATGATAAATAACTATTGGCTAACTCAGCCGAAGCGTTTTCATTGCAATTAATGCGCCATTAAACTCGGCTATTTTATTCATCACACTTTTTAATGTTAGTCAATTATTTTCAATTTTTTATTTGTTAATTATTTGTTCATTAGAAGTATCAAAGTAATGATAACCATCAATATAAATGTGACAATGTAAACGAAATTAATTGAAGGTGGAAATAGCAACTTGAAATCAATTTGTTGTTTAACCATTTGTTTGTGTTTATTGACGGTAAAAAACTGTTACATTGAAGCTGCTTGCTTTATTAGCTTTTGTTGATGTTGTCTACTGTTGATTATTTCAATTTCAACTTGTTTCTTTTTTGTATCTTAAATAACATCAACATTTACATGATAATAATCAGTATAAATATGTGCTGCAATACCATCATCAGTGGACTTAAATATCATTAAAATGATTATCATCATTTGACCAGGCCTGAGGGTTACTTTATGCAATGTTTTTTTGTTATTAAACATCAGAAAGTATATTTTTTGGTCAACATTTTAACCCATTGATGGAGGATAATGACAATGTTGATGATAATGATAATTACAATGGTGCTAGTGTTGGTGTTGGTGATGGTGATGATAATATCCGTCAATTGTTACTCTCTTGCCTTTTTTAATCATCATTCCAATGCTATAACTGGACAATTTACAGTTGATTTGTAAAAGAGAGCAGACATTATAATAACCATTACAATTAACTATGCTTAACAGTTATAATAGTTGTAATTATCATTCCTATCTATTGTGGGTGATATTTTGAGACATTCAATCCATGAACATTGTCGGTTAATCTTGACGGAAGTTGGTTCCGTTCAAGTTTAACCCTCGAGGTTTAACCCAATAAGCCTTTACAGTTGTATTTATAAATAGATGCAAATATCTGTGTTATATTTTGAGTCTCGTGCCATTTACTTTATGAGTTAACATAAATAATGAAAAGTTATTAATATAAGTGTTCACATCTGGACTATTTTTTGGGTTATTTTTTCCTGGTTTTGGTCGACATCAGCTTAAGGTGAACGGTTGAAGGTCAGAAAATGTCAATCGTGTTTAACCCAATTTTGAGTGGAAACAGTTTGACTCTTTGAATATTTAATCAATCACCAGCATTTGGTCAACTCTTTACAGATGATTTTGTTTTTGACAACGAGATTAACCATTGATTAACTAATGATGATGTATTTGCAAGTCAATGAGACAACTTAATGCAGATTCAACATGAAGATTAATGGTTCAAAGACTCTATCAGCTTTGATTGTTTCTGATTGTAAATTATCAAGTAAAATAAACTCACATAGACTTTAATTAATAAATCAAATTCATCAAATAATAAATGAAATTGTTGAAGTTTATAGCAATTTAAATTGTTCATTAATTGAACTGAAAACGAGCAATTAAGTTGAATCAGAGGAAATAATAATGATAATGTTAGTTGATGTCAGTGAAAAGAAACACAAAATAGTCGAAGCGAAACAAAATAAGTAAGAAGATGATATTGAAAATGAATGGGAAAGAGAGAGGAATGAAGATAATGGAAGAGAGGAGAGAGGGAAAGAGAGAGATGATGAGAATGATGATGAGGATCTTTGGACGGTGTTTGGGCCATCGGTGGCGAATGGTTTGTAAGTTGAAGAAAGAAGAGAAAGAACGAAAAGAAAGAAAGAAAAGTATGAATGAAAACAAGTTTGACAGTAAGGTGAGGCTTTATCATCATCATCATCATTTCTGTCTTTCTTCCCTTTCTTTCTTTCTCTTTCTTATTCTCTTTCTTATCATCATGAGTGAGTTGCGCACATTATGAGTGAGCTTAAAGAGCGTCAATCCAAGTCTAAAGTCGTTCTCAGTTCCAAATAACTTAACCTTAACGTAACTTGTTTTACTCAAAGTGCTTTACTAACATTCAAACTTCAACTAAACTCAACTTTTGTAATAACATGAAAAAATGTCTAATTTTTGTTTCTTTTTTACTTCAAGTAACTTTTTTCATCTTTTAATGGATAATTCAATATCCAATTAATGGTCAACACAATCAATGATTAAATTGATTGGTTTGTCACAATTAATTGTCTTCCAATAGTCGATATCTTTTTCATTATCATTTAAACTCTAATTTTTTGGATTATCTTTTTGCTTTCATTGTGTTCAATCAAATTGTGGATTTTTGTGAAAATTATTATTACAATGGATTATTTAATTGCTTCTAAATTGTACACAATTCTAGTTTTGTTGTTAACAATTAATGGTAAGTTTATTAATCATCATTAATCAAGTAAATCCACCTTTCAATCAGTTTTTTGTTTCTTTTCATTCCAACATTTCAAGTTGAAATTGTTTCATTTATTGGCATTTATTTATGGTTAACGATTTAATTGCAATCGAGCAATTAACCTTATTTTTGGATTAAAAGTTTAATCAAAAGATGAGAAAAGAATCTTCAATATTTCCAATTAAATTATAACTATTTTAACTAATAAACAGTTATCATAAATGGATATTTGAAAGTCAGTTTAATAAATGAAACAAGATTAATGCTCAAACTATCAAAATATAATAACAACTGAAATATTTTTTATACTGAAAAAAGTGCAATTTAAATAAAATGATATCAATTACCTTATCATTGAATCCCTTGCCGTTGAGACACAAAAAATACTTGAATCCATTATTCAAGAGTTAACCCAAAATACGGTTTCTATGAATTAACCTGCAATATTGTCATCTATGAATGGACTTTTTTCAATTCACTTCATACTTTGAATTTTTTGCTTCTTGTTTTTTCCTTCACTTGCCTTTCCTCTCTTTCTCTTCTTTCTTTTTTCTCTTCATTTCTTCTTCTCTTTCTAATCTTCTCTCAATTCTCCTCCTTCTCATCTTATTCACCTTTTCTCACAACTCACCGTCTATCACCAAAAAAAGTCTCAAAAGAAGAGCGTAAACTAGAAAATACCAAAGATTGTACTTTTTTCCTGTTCTTTTTTTTGTTGTTGATGTTGATTTTGGTGCTTCATTTTATCATCATCTTCTTCTTCTTCTTTCCTTCTCTTCTTCTCTTTCTTTATTCACCTCACATTCTTCATCTTCTTCTCTTTAACCTTCTCTTTCTTTCTTCTTCTAACATGTTGTTTCTCATCCACTTTTTATCCTCTTCTTATCATCACAGGTTACAACTGTACCTGTTACTTTCCCATAGAGTATCAAGGTACTTTTATGATGCAAACCCAAGCTTCATCTTCATCATCATCTTCTTCAAATGAAGTCACATATTCGGAGATTACCATTGAAGCTGATGCCATATCACCATGGGGTTCATGTCATGAACGCAATGGAACCAATGTTATCCTAACTGACTCAACTGGACCAGATACAAATTGTATGAGATGTTTACATTTATCACTTAAAACTGGTAATATATTACAAATACATGCTGAAGGATTGGCTCGATGTTACACTAATGTTGAAGCTGCTAAGGCCACTTGTCCAACCGATAAAACTCTGAAAGAGAATAGATCAACATTAGAATTAATCTTATTTCGTAAGTTAATTACAATTACAATTTATATTTATAGCAATTCTTTGAGTAATTTATCCTTCAATGTATATTATACGAGAAACAAGGAAAAATACTTGTGTTTTCACTCCCTGATCATGTCGAGATTATTATCATTTCGGTTGTCACTTTTTTCTTGTTATATTATAATATTTATGAATAGACATTGAAGCCTCTTCTCACATCATAAAAACCTGTCCATATTTTGTGGGGTTCATCTCATTGACAAACCTTATTTCCTGTTAACATTCATTGTTCCCAAACATTGTTAGTGTTAGCACCTTGCAACCTTATAGCTTCCGGTAACTTCACAGGATCAACATTTTTTGTCATAATATTCATAGGAATATAATGGCCAGTTTTGGGTCCTTCTTGTAGTTATTTTCAGTCCTTTTCACTACTTGTTTTGGCTACTTTTTCATTCCTTTTTTTGCTTCCTCTTCGTAATTATCTTGAATCTTGATTGTTCCTCCAAATGTTCAATTTTAATTGATTGTTAATCCAGTTGACTTGACCTTGATATGGATTCCCTTTAATACAAAAATAAGGTTTCATTAACTATTAATAAATTAAAAGATAAGCAATTAATATTGTGATTGTTTAGATCACGATTTCAACAATAATACTCTTACCTTTTGAAATTGAAATGAGCTTCTATTAACTAACTTACTTGATTCATTTCATTATCATCTAATAACTTTCATAAATAACCTGTTTCTTCTCGTTATAATATACATTGATTATGTTTACTTCATCATCATCTTCATCTTCATCTCCTTCTTACTCCTCATACTTTTCATACTTTTCATATTCATCATAATCATCAAACTCATTATCATCATTATCATGTTCATCATCATGATATTAATTCAACTTTTCATTTACCAGGTAAACATATTCCAGTAGAAAATATTGAAACAATTGAAAAGGTTTTCTGTCCAATTAATGGTCGTTATAAGTTGACTTATACAACAAACAATGGTCAAGACCAATGTACTTCAAGTCCATCCGATATATCAAATTGTCCAAAAGGGAATGTCCTTTCAGCGCGTTTCCGTAAATGCCAATCAATTCCTGATCAAGGTAAGAAAAGAAGAAATAAATATTCATTATTTAATTATTGAAACTTATTGATGAAATGTTAATTGTTTTTAAACAGAAATACAATTTCAATGTTTGGGTGACTGGGAAAATACTAACGGAGGAAGTGACAGATTCATCGCTCTATTGGACCTTTCATCGGAACCAAGAAATAGACCAAAATATCGATGTGGAGTAAGTGCACAAAAGACATTATTTTCATACTAATCATCATCTTTATCCGTTGGTTTCAAATATAAAAACGGAAATGGGTTGAAGATGACAAAAGGTGCTTTACAGGAAGTGTCTCATTTAATATGCTCTTGGAGGGTGAACCTTACTTGGGTTAGTCTATTGACTCAACCATAGACTCAACTCAACTCTAGACTGAGATATTGGTTAAAGGATCGTTAGTGTCTTTCATTGGCATTATTATTAATACTCAGACTAGGCCTTGCCTTGACTTGATATTCAATTAATGAGTTGTTTTAAGCACAAAAATAGTCAACTTATTAGTTTATAAATGTTAGGATTTCCGTTGAAACATGTAATAATAATAATAATATCCAACTGTGAATATCTTCTTACAATGTTAGTCTTGTTTATACATTTTCAATTCACTGTAATTCATTTTTAAATTTTCATTATGATGATGAGGATGATTGTCAATCATGAAACTGGTAAATGATCAGGATGATTATGATTATGATTAAGTGAGAGTGCAATGGTGAATTAAGAAGAAAAAGAAAGCAAAAGAAGAAGAAAAATCATCTTTCAAATGCTTATTTCCTTCAATTTTCGATATGCTTTTTAACTCTAAATGCGTACAAACATGAAACACCCTGAGATTTTTCATTATTATACAATATCATATCATTCATTCATTCATTATCATTATTATTATTATTGAAAGGTTTTACACTTGAGCAAGAAAAGGCCGATTACCCATCATAATCATCATCATCAGCATCTTCATGGTGAAAATTCATTGTTACATTGTAAAGTATCTGAGTTGTTGTTGTTTACTGCTATTGATATGCTTTCTTGTTTGTTACACTGGTTAATTCATAATTTCATGTTTAATTATTACAGCCATTATTAGCTTATATTAATGGTTAAACTTGATTTACCCATTGAATTAACTAAAAATAATTGTTAGTGAATTGTCAAATTGTTACTTACTTGTTACAACTAGTTAATAATTATGTACACATTAACAGTCAATATTGATCAATGTTTGGTTCACAAGTAAAAGTTGGTTAAACTGGAACAACATTGTTTATTGATCAAGGCGTTTCTATCTTTAAAGTTAATCATAAATTATTGCCAATTCCCGATGAATTTGAGGTTCTCATAGGCCAATCCTGTTTCCATTTTATACCGATTTTGTTGAATATTTTTGGCCTTTTTTCATAGCTGAAGGCTCTTTATGGTTCAACTTGAAATCTCTTTGAAGGTCCAATTCATTTTAACCAATTTCCTTTCAATGTTAATCAGTATCTTTACCATTCCTTAATCATCATCAACTGTAACCAACCAACTCGTAAAAAATGATCAACATGAGAAACTGAATTGAAAGGAATAAGTTGATAAAGGGAAAACGAAATGGCAAAATAATCTTTTAGTTTAAAGTGAAAGATGATCAAGACTTTCCGGTTCAATAGGAACTAGGAATTTGTTAATATATTATATAATACATAAGATGAACTTTCCATTAAAGCAATCGATTTAACCATTTAACCAGCTTAAAAGCCTTCTAGAATTGATTATTGTTGTTATTAAAATACAATTACGTTGGCCAGCACCGGTTTTTAAGCTTCAGCCAGTCCATCTTTAAATTAGAGATTCCTTCTTTTTCTTCATGGATTCTTGGTTTCATTGATATAATATCGATAGTTAAACAGTGATTGTTGCTGTAATTGTTGAACATCAATTGATTGAATTGTTTCTTGACTGTCTTTACTTGAATCCTTTATTTTGTTATAACACTTCAATGGGTGTAACAACAGCATTGATCCTTAACCCGTTGCCATACTTTTTATTGAGTAATAAACTCTCATAACTTGCTTTGTTGATCAATATTAGTCCATCAACAGTTTACTGATTATTATCACAAGGTTGGTTGTCTTGATTGTTCACAATTGAACTTTTTTGATGATACAATATATTCTGAGTCTGATAGTGAAAGTTTTATTGAATGATGACAATAAGCTGTTCATAAGGAGACACAAAAGCACAAAAGGCTTTCCCTTTTCGTTGTTGTTATAGACTGGATATAAATGATTGATTAACCATAAATTAATTAGAGTCACTTTTGATCAAATCTTGATCTTTGACAAATAAAAATATTTTAAAGCACAAATTAATTTACAATTAAAACTGTTAACTAATTATAAAATCATTTGTTTTAATTTTAGATGTTTCGGGAAAACTCAACCAACGGACAAATTTATGTCTCACTCTCAGCTGATTCAACTTGCTCAACCAATCTCGTTAATGCAAGGATTGGATATGAAACATTAACATTGACTCCAAGTAAGTTATTTGTTTATTTGATTAATAATTATCAGATACTAATGGTCAGTTATTTGTCAATTAGTAAATTGTCAAGAGTTTGCTAAACAATCTCAAGTTCTGTTAATTAAACATGACTTTAAATTGGTGCATTCCATTCATTTACACTTATATGTTAGTTGAATGACTTGAAGCCATTTCTAATTGAAAGGGTAAATTGATCAAAGCTAATTAACTTAACTCTTGTTTATTGTCAATCAACAGCAATTGGTGATAAAATAATGACTCGATATCCGATTACTGAGAGCATCAAATGTCGATTTCCTGATTGGACTCAAGGAAAATGGGATCGAAGTCGAATCGACGGAAATCAATTCAAGTTTAAAGATGTGGTCAACAACTACAGGACATTAACATCAAAATGTATAATGAGACAATCAAATACACCAAATGATAGATTCATTGTTCACAGTTCAACTCAATGGTAAGTCAATGAATCCAATGCTTCAGCCGATTGATCACAATTTCATTTCAGTTTACCAACAATTTGCCAAATTTATTCGTTTTTTTGGTTTGA